GTATGTATGTTTGTATGTATGTATGTATCTATGTATCTATGTATCTATGTATGTATGTATGTATGCATGTATGTATCTATGTATCTATGTATCTATGTATCTATCTATCTTTCTATCTATGTATGTATGTATATCTGTATGTCTACCTGGCTGTGTCTGTCTGCTTATGTATGTCTGGGTGTCTGTACGCATGCATGTGTGTATGCATGTAAGACAGGGACACGTGTAAAACAACATATACTCATGATTCTTCTATACTGGGGTTGTTTCATCTATGAAGCCTGGGGGTTCCCAGATCTGATAAGTTTTAACGCCCAAAAGACAGAATTGCTTATCTTAGATCATCATCAATTTTCTGAGGCCTACTACAGTTTTGACCCCAAATTACCTTTCCTATCTCTAGCTTGCCTGGTAGTACAACTAATGCCCGTCTAAACTAAGGGAGCTTTTTGCTCAGCATTGATATCCTTTCAGCCTTTTCTCGGAGAAAGCAACGTTTCACCATCAAATCCCTCACCCAAGGGGACACAAAATGCTCGAAGTTATACTGAAAATGTCACCCTCTAGGCTTAGAGTCTGAAATTCCCAGGTCTTCAAGTTTGACCATCAGCTCAACACCCAAAGTCGGCGCCCAGAAAGGTTGTCATTGGAACCCCTCAACAGAATGATTGGACCATAGATTCTTATGTTTGATTGTCGACCGATTGTAAAAAAGTTGCTAAAATTGTTGGTTCACAGTGTCTAAGTTTTAACTGAGGTAACTGAAGTATTGTCAAAACATGTGATTTCCTGGGACCATTAACCAACCCTCTGACAAGCCAACAGTTTGTCTCATGAAGACTTTCCTTCAGAAAACCTCACGATCTTTATCTCCATGTCTTTGTCTCCCTGCAACTAGCTTCCATGAAACATGACATACCCTCTGGTAAACTAACATAACTATGGAACATCACCATTTTCAATGGGAAAATCCACTATAAATGATCATTTTCAATAGCTATTTTGACATAACCAGAGGGTAAGTCATGTCCCATTGTCCTCCACCCGCCTGCAAACATTCGGGGTCTGTAAACTGCGAAAACTCCACACCGCAGTCCTTGGACATCGAGGAGTCCATGGTTAAGCCATGGCCCGTTGACTTCGATATGTTGATGTCTTACAGCTATGTAAAATCTCAAGGTAGTGAAGAAACCTAGACATATAGAACGTGACATCCCCATTGGAACAAAACAATTTGGAGATCTGATCAACAAAAATGTGGCCAGAAATGGACAGAACTGAGAAATACTGATGAAACCAAGAACACACACACAAACTATCTGAAGCAGCAGGAAAAGTATACATTTACTTTGGCCTATCTTCCTGCGAAAGACTTCCTTGAGGGTGGAACAACTTGTTGGAAATCATCTCAAGAATCAAAAGATTTCTGTTTCGATAAACCATGCCACTGATAGGGGCAAGATACCTGAAGAAATGGGGCTGCGGCTCTTGCTGGGAAAATCTTGGGGAACATCTACAGGACACTCCAATCTTCGGAGGAACTCGTGGGAAACCCTGCCAGGAATTGGCATCTCAATCCATTGATTTTAACCATTTATCATCCATTTATCAGCTGGTGATGGGGTTTTCGCAACCATCCAGTTGAATTAGAGAATTTATACTATTTAAACAACATCTGTCAAAGGATCTGGATAAATAACGATCACAATTCAATCAAGCAGCTGAAATCAAGCCACACCACTTCTCTTGCCCCAACCATACCCCAGCTGCTGCTAAAGATAATTTGTTAAGGCCATGTGATGCCGTCTCTTCTCTTTCAAAGTATCAAGATGTATCAAGATAAACCACAATCCTTAACAATTCAACTAGCTGAAGTAAGGCCGGGTATGATTCCCAATCCGAGCACCATTCCAGTGATGGGTAAATTATGGCCATAAATTCTCTAATTCAACTGGATGGTTGCGAAAACCCCATCACCAGCTGATAAATGGATGATAAATGGTTTTAAAAAAAAACGTAGTTAATCATTTATATTCATTTATCAGCTAGTTGAATGGATAATCCCATCATTTACCATTTAACCATTCATTGATAATGGATACCCTCTGGTTATGTCAAAATAGCTATTGAAAATGGCCCAGTCGAAATAATTGATTTACCCATGAATAGCATGGTGATTCTCCATAGTTATGTGGCTGTTTACCAGAGGGTAATCCCATCATTTTCGATGCCTTTCGATGCGGAATCCCATTTTTGTTCCCCTGCCAGGCAGCAGTGGAGCCATTGGCAGCACGAAAGCGGAAGAGTTGCTCCTCCTGTGAAGCGAAAACTCGCTTCAGAGATCAGGGAAGAAAAAACACGGCAGGCCTTAGGCCTTGAAGCAGTTAGTTATAACTGGCTATTTCAATGGGATTGTACATTCTATACATGGGATTTTGTTTGTAGTTACAAGTGGTACCCGGCCTGGTAAACGTCTACATAAGTATGGAAAGATCCACCATGTTCAATGGGTAAATCCACGAACTAAATCACAATTTTCAATAGCTATTTTGACAAAACCAGAGGGTATAACTGGCTAAGTGATGATATAATTGTGAGATAATAGAAACTAGTTGAAGGAGTTATAATATGTTATAATCCTAGTTGTAAGTCCTACAGGCCATAACTGTACACACACACATTAAACAAATGGAACATTTCAACATGGAGATTATAACCATGGCCACTACGGGAATGTTAACCAGCCATGTCTGTTCATGGCTTAGATAATAAGCTGCAACAACGTGATTCTCAGCTGCTGAGATTGCTGAGTATACAGATGTGCAACAATATACAGTATGTAAATGTATGTAGAGATACAGACAACATATAGTCATATACGGGTTGCATTTCGGGTACCCCCGAAATGCGGTGGTTAATCATCAGCGCCCCTATTACGCAAGCTAAATGGGGCAATTTGTGGGTCAGTGTTGGCACATACACTGTATATGGAGCATACATCCATGGACCGGGTGGCACAAAAAAAAATCAGCCCACACCGCTTTGGCGGTGAAGGCGTGCTTATTGGGGGGCAACAGCAACACTAAATGCTCAATGACATTTGTTAATATAGCAGTCGCTATATCAGCTTTAGCTGGGGGGGGGACCCAAAAACGGTTTCGCACCGAGACCAGACCCCAAAAACGGTTTCGCACCGAGACCAGAATACGGTGGTGTTTTCGACATTTTTCGAGGATTTTTGGGTGTCTGAGCGCAAGAGGGTATTGAAATGGAATTTTGGGTCATTTTGGTAGCTTTCCGGCAATGGAAAAACGGCCAAAAATGAAAAAAAATTGTACATAGCAAGATTTTGCAGGGTTTTTGGATGCCAGAGCATTGAAAACACTGCAAAAACAAGTGTTTTGGACTGACGTTATAGCAAAAAACGTGTAAATTACCGTATGCTTGACTGGAAACATTACAAAAACACTGTCAAAAGCAATGTTTTGGAAGGATTTACTGCCTTTATGGCAAAAAACGTGTAAATTACCGTCTGTTTGACTGGAAACATTGGAAAAACACTGTCAAAAACAATGTTTTGGAAGGATTTCTTATTGAAACTTCTTAGCTTGAAGAGCCCCCACGGGGGAAAACCACCCTTAGCCCCTCTCACGGACCGAAATAAACCTGCGGTGTGGGCGGCCACCCCACGCGAAGCGGGGTGAATATACCCTCTGGCAGTCTAACATAGCTATGGAAAATGGATGAACATGGCACATTTAGGCACATTTGAAGATGATTTACCTGTGACAGGGTGGTTTTCAATAGCTATGTTGGATTACCACAGGGTATAGGTTTTAGAATATCATAAATAACTTATTTTCAATAACCATCCCATGTATTAAAAAAAACTAACCAAGATGTACCGCAATGCAAAACATCATCTCATTGTGACCCCAATCTCATGCGAAGCTGAGAAAATAGAGATTTTTTTAAAAAAAAATAGGGGAGGTGAAATTTCCTGAGTGATCAATATAAATGATATATGTATGTACACTGTGGTGTATTTATATATATATATATCAACATTTGAAAATTATCCAACAAACGCGCATAATTTTAAACCCATCCCCACATTTGGGGCTATCCAAAAATTGGTAGATTTACTTACAACTGTTATTTAAACATGATGATCAGCCGTTGAATTTGGAATTTCGGGCTATCATATTTTCAGACATAGAGGAAAGTGGATTCCTGCTCAGATACAGGTGAATCACTGTCTATGTTCTTGGTGGTTAATGCTGAATGTATCCCAGGTAAACCCGTACTAAGTATTAAATCATTGAACCACCAGTGTTAGTTCGTTTACCAACTAAGCATCACCAAAACCTTATGTTTAGCACACATATATCTCAATCGAACAAGCAACAAATCCATCAATCCATCCACTTACCCTCCTGTGAGCTAGCACAGATATGGACAACCCACCATTTCTAGATCATTTTCCTAGCTGGTTGGTGGTTTCAACCCCTCTGAAAAATATTAGTCAGTTGGGAATATGATTCCCAACTGAATGGAAAATCATAAAATTCATGTTCCAAACCACCAACCAGCTAGGGAAACCATTCGTTTTCCAAATCCTTTGTCTACCTAATCCATGAATTCACCGGCCTACTCCCGGGCGACCTGGAGAGCCGAGGCGTTCCATTCACCAAATCGCCGCAATAACTCCATGGATGTGCTTGACACCAAGGCCTGTCAGGATACATATCGCTTACCCTCTGGTTATGTCAAAATAGCTATTGAAAATGGTGATCTATAGTTGATTTCCCTATTAAAAATGGTGATTTTCCATAGTTTTGTTTGTTTACCAGAGGGTATTCATATTTATTATCCCGATCATACAGTGATGTTGACCTAGGTTCAGCTGACTTTTGTTGCCTAGAGGGGGGCCACGTTGGACTTCAAACTGGTATGGTTGCTACTAAACCTTACAGGTGTTTAAATGTTGAGGCCCCAATTCGTGCTGCAGATTTGATTCCAATTCCATGGATGGAGACTTCCAATCTCCCAGCGCTCGTTTGGTAATCATAGCACTTCACCCACTTAGATATCGTGGTTTCCTAAAATGGGGGTACCCACAAATCGTTCAAGTCATTGAAACTGGTTTCGGGGATCCCCGTAAGAAACCCCAATCCCGACTGACATGAGAACATATATCCCAATATCAATGAACTATGTTCTCCACTTGCGATTCCGTGGTGCATCTCCAAGAGGTAAATTTTCGTTCATTACTTCAATGGCCAGGAACTATGTAAAAATATGTAAAATCTGAGTTACCTACGATATATAGAGCCTATGCAAGGGCTATGTAAGGGAATAGTCCTGGAATTCCCACTGATTGCTATACTCGAAACTCAGGAAGTTGGGTACGCATTGGTAATTGGTTACAGTTTCGCTATGGAAAACCATCATGTCTTTATTCAGTTGAATACCAGTCGGGTGGAAAAAGGTGTCAGTAGATGGAAGGCCCAAAAAAATGGTTAAACATGATACCCCCATAATTAGCTAAGTTGATTTGGTTCAGAGGATTAACTATGTTGATACATGGAACTAACTAGTTAGATGGATGAACACAACATGTTACAAACCAATCTAGCTAAAACAAACTTGACTTGGGGCAACAGCTTGTAGAACACTATGCAGGTTGTACTATTTTTTCCGGGGTTACCTCTTTCTCTGTCCATCGATATACAATGTATGTGTATGAAAAAAAATATATATACTACATGTGTAATTTTTACAATCATCTTGTGAAGTAGATGGAAAATGAAATTTTACGCATATTCCCATTTTTGCGAGGGTTTTTGAAACGTTCCATACCTCATCTTCTCCAGGATGATTGCGTGTATACACACTGTAAATCAGTGCTTATTCTCAATGAACAGGAACTGATTATTGCCATATATATTTACATATATATACATTTGTATGTGTATATATATATATACATCTATATCTAGATCTACATATAAATATATATATATATATACATATACATATCTCTATATATATATATATAATTATATATATATAATTATATAATTATATAATTAATTATATATATATATATTATCCAGCCCCCCGGCCCTCCCCAATGGTTCTGGGTTTGCCGGTCCAAGGGTATATAGAAATATGTGATCATACTGGTGATCCCCTCCAATCCCCAGTGGGTAAGGGCTGGCAATAACGTAGGGGATGGGTATATAGGTAAAGGACATATAGATATTGTAATACCATATATACTATCAGATCAAAAGGGGTATACATGATAGAATACAGACTATCGATAGGTAAAGGGGTATGATCATATCGAAAGTATACAGATAGTATTTGGATAACATTTAGACGTTGCCCATGAGCAAGGGCAACACCATGCATCGAAGTCCCTGTGTGGACTGGTGCAGTCCAGCCCTGCCCAGAAACCGCCGCACACAGCACCGTATCCATTGCGCAAAGCCGTTGGAATCACGCTCAATCTTCAGCAGCGATCTGCTTGACCTCTGGCAGGGATTGAGCCATGAGATCACAAAATATTTTCAAATCTTCAAAATCAATTGAGCTATAAAGCAGCTAGTTCCACTCGACACAATGTTTTTGGTTCTGAAATGAACAAGTACTCTTTTTTGTTCATTTCAGGTTTTTTGCGCCTACACTAAAGTTGATAAGAGAGCGAGCTGAAGGGCAGCCATCCACACTCAACTTTGGCATTTCGACGACACAAAGAGCGGTGTTATTTTTTAGTGCCTTGTTTCGTGTCTGGACAAACATGGTCATGCCCTGTGGGTTGAAATGATTGTGTCATGCGTGATTGCCTGATACTCCCGCGGTTTAAGCCAATCTGCAAAAGGTATACCAACATAGTGTATACCGACTCTAACTACAACATCCTCCAAAATGACGCCATATCTATCTGACGTTGTCCAGCAGCATCGATGCCTGAATATAACCAACATCAGAAAGACACTGGACGCTCTAGCACGTGAGAATGAGAAAGCCCACAAACTATGGGCAGTAAAGAACACTTTTGTTCGTTTTGTTGAAGCATTCTTGGAGGAAAAGGATATGACTCACCTCGGGCACTTTTCTGGGACATTCTTGTTTGGCAAGCTGCTATCCAAAACAAAAGCTTTTGGGAATGATCTGAGGCAGAAGGAAAACCTCAGCATACTCTCAGATTGCCTGCGCTGTGAGGGCTACCTTCTCTGCGATGTCTCAATCTATAGACGCCTAGCTTGGCGCCGAATAAGATATCAATGTTCATGGAAATGCTTCCCGTCAAGTGCAGGAACTTGTGGCAAAGAGATGCCATGCATCAACGGGTGAAGAAAGTTGGATACAAGCAACCTGCACAACCAACATCGAGAATATCTAGATGTTGTTCGATTGGCTGGCGATGGACCAACAATGGGCTCAACTTCTCAGCAACCAGGCTCAAGTGGGTCTCAAAGATAATTCGGCTCCTTTTTGCGTGGAAAGTCCGAAAGAACGAGGTGGATCTAGAACTCCAACCCCTGATGACCTTGACCTTGCCGGCATATAGGTATACAGGTAGGTGGGTGGGGTTCTGATGCAAGTAAAGGGGTATTTAGATAGATAGATATATTATATGTTTTTGGGATTTATATTTGTATATGGTCACATCTACAGTAGGTATTTAGGTGGGTATATAGATAGTGGGGACCCCCGCAACCCAATGGGGGGCCCATCTTTCCACATAAAACACGTGATTTTTCTTGCTTTGGAAATGTTTAGAAGTACCGTGTGTAATTATTTGGTCACGCTCTCCATGTTTACTCTTCTAAAATAGCAATGGAATCACACATATGATTCATGTGATGTTATTTAATGGTAGGGAATGTCATGAGTCAAGCATGTTGGGACACACAAACAAAGTGTGGCAGCTCTGGAAGTTGATGTCAAGGAATCTTCACTTTGTTTCTCCTGGCGCTGGCAGATTGAAAACTAAAAACATATCTTCTTGTTTTTATATAGAGCTTTATATTCTCAGTCTAGTATTTAACGTGTAAAAAATCTAGCCTGCAGACATCAGAGGCTTCGGTTTCTTCTCGTACGTTTTTCGCACCAGATCCACTGTTGGGATCCAAATCCTGACAGTTTTAACCACAGATTTGCATTAAGTGGAGTTGGTCTTCACATCGTTTGGTAGTATGACAAGGTGCAGCAGCAGTTCCATCATTGAAAGATATATAGAACTGTTTTTGTTGAACGTCTTGATGCAATATTGTGGTTCAAGCCGAAAATTAATCAAGGAACTAAACTGGTGGCAATCTTGGCGTTTTGCGAGTTCCGGCCTCTCAATTCTCTAAAATCTTCTATAGAAGCATTCTCTCAAGACTCAGTGATCGTGTTGATCACACGTCCTCGCACCTTCCTTCCTTCGATTTCCTTCAAAGATACCTTCTCAGCCAGACTCGTGAAGGACACCCGGCCCGCAACAACTCGTTGGAGATCACGACGCCCAACGTAGGGCGAACGGATATGATCCATTCCACAGCTGATCCTTAAGCATTTGGATGAACTCATTGAAATCACCTGGACACCTGAGGCCCCTTACATGAATGAATGAATGAATGAATGAATGAATCAATCAATCAATCAATCAATCAATCAGTCAACCAATCAATGAATCAATCAATGAATCAATCAATCAATGAATCAATCAATCAATGAACCAATGAATCAATCAATCAATGAATCAATGATTCAATGAATCAATGAATCAATGAAAAAATGAATCAATGAATCAATGAATCAATCAATCAATGAATGAATGAATGAATGAATGAATGAAATCAATGAATGAATGAATGAATGAATGAATGAATGAATGAATGAAATCAATGAATGAATGAATGAATGAATGAATGAATGAATGAATGAATGAATGAATGAATGAACGAATGAATGAATGAATGAAGGAAGGAAGGAAGGAAGGAATGAAGGAATGAAGGAATGAAGGAATGAAGGAATGAAGGAATGAATGAAGGAATGAATGAATGAATGGGTGAATGATGTTAGAGGTGATGATGAATGGAAGCTGACGTAGGTGGAATGTCATACATCCACAGTTTGATGCTTGTTTTGGTCCCTACAGGAGGTCTGATCCAGGGCTGGCGCCAGAATCACAAGAGTTTATGTTTTTGCACACAAAAAGTTTTACACAGGGAAGCTTTTACACGCAGATGTCTCTACACAGGGCAGCCTTTACACACAGATGCTTTTACACACAGAAGCATTTACAAATATATACTTCTACGCAGCGAACGCATGGAAAAAGAATGGGATCTACAAGTCGCAATTCTAAGTTAAACTGCCATCACTTCAGCTTTTTTCCGCGAACACAAAGCTTGCTCCAAGGGACTTGTGAAACCGCGATTGTGCTTCGAACAAACCTCGGTCGCACCAGGAAAATGACTGATGGCAGCTCAGAGCAGTCTTCGGCAATCGGTAACATCCATTCATCTTCAACCTGGCAATACGTAATATTTAGATAATATATACGTAGGTTGTATGTATATATATAGTGCAAAAATAGTATAATTATAGGAATTTGTAAATAGTATATAGGTAGTATATAGGAACAAGATAGTGTAAGATGGAGTATAAGTGGTATATAGGGGTTTATACATAATATGTATATATATATAGGTAAAACGGTAGTAAAAGAAAGTATAAGCCTGTGACAAAGTACGATAATATACGCATTATCAGTGCCAAGATTGTATAGTAATGCTGCATTGTATAGATGTATCAGTGCCAGATGAAGATTGTATAAATGTAGTGCATAGCTAGAGGGTAGGGACTATATAGTTCGTATGTGCATGGGATGGGTAGATAAGCCAAAACGTACCAAATACCACGTAAAATGGGAGGTAGAGGGCTATTCCTGGACCCGTCCCATCGGGGATCTTGCGGCCGGACGGGATCATATATATATACACATGCATTATATATATATACACAATATATACACATGCATTATATATATATATACACAATATATACATTACATATATATATAGATATATATATACATATATTTATATATATATATATACATATATTTATATTGATGTATATATTGTTGTTATCATCATGACTATTATTGCTATTATTATTATTGCTATTATTATATATATATATACACAACACAATTATTAATAAAATAATGTATATAATTACCCATGCCTCTAAATATATTTTTGAGCCAGCGCCTCGCTGGAGTGTTGCGCCATCACAATCTGGTCCAGTTGGAGATGGGAGGCGCCAACCAGGACCCCTGGAGCTTGCTGACCTGCCACGACCAACCAGGACCCGATGGTATATATATATATACATATATGTACGAGTACATACATGGTGTTGCAGCCATGGTTATTTATGGTTATGTAATGCTGTGCATATATATATATATATATATATGAGCCCGGTCCCCGGACCCCCACACCCCCCCCCCCTCCCCCCCAATGGTATCCCCCCCCCACTCCTAACCCCCCCACCCCCCAAAACCTAGTATTTGCATGTTATTTGCACATATACATACACATATACACATATATACTCCCCTTTCCACCCCTCCACCCTCGCATCTCTACGTTATTTGCAGCACTTGAGTCAGAGCCACGACCTCGTCAACGGACCTTGTCTACCTGTATATTTCTATCATAACCTTTTTTTCGAACCGCCTATAGCGTGCCTCGCACATGGTTTACAACATATTTGCTACCTATGGATTACGCAAAGCTTACCTATGCAAACCTAGACATATGTACAGTAGAAAAACAATATATATATATGCACATTCTAGATACTACATATTGATATCTTGATCTTGTATCTATCACATAGTTCGTTTACATTGTACATACTGTACACGTATATATATATACATACATATATATACATATATATATACATAGACTCTAGATATACAGCGTGTATTGCTGTCGATATTCAATGTACCACATATACTATGTAAAATTTATTCAACATATTTACCTATATTGTATATATTACATCTACTGTGGATACAGTACATGCGGCATATGCTATCTATATTCTATCAAAATCCACATATTCGATATATATATATATATATGTCCAATATATATATATATATATGTCAAATATATATATATATTACATATATATATATTGCATATATTCTATTTATATCTTACATATTATATATATATATATGTTTATATATATATACACACCACACATACACTCTATATTACATATAGTATATCCATTCTAATTATCGATACATATGCACTATATGCACTATATGCACTATAAAGACTACATACACCATGATTTCTATGTATACTCACCAGTGCTGCTCACGCAGTACCTTGGACATTGCTGGCACACTCCTTGCACTGAGCTATATATTTTGCGTATATCGGCTTGGCTGCTGAGAAAACCCCCCCTCCCCTGCCACAGGGGGGGGGAACCATCTGGCTGGGGGAGGGGGGGGGTGTGGGGGTCCCTGCTCATATATATGGCTATACATGGTTAGATATGTGATGATACGTGATGATATGTGATGAAATGTGATGGTATGTGGTGATATGTGATGATATGTGATGATATGTGATGATATGTGATGATATGTGATGTTCTGTGTTAGTCAAAAGATTAAGTCATACGAGTGATGCCTCCTCCATTCATAACTTGGTGTATAAACCAAGCTAGCTATATTTATCAACCCATCAACAATCATCAACGTGGCACTTTGCCTAGTAATAGACCATACCCTCTGGTAAACTAACATAGCTATTAAATATTGCCATTTATGATTGATTTACCTAGTAAAAATGGTGATTTTCCATAGTTATGTTAGTTTACCAGATGGTATCTGCCCATATATACCTAGTAACAAAGTATCTACCATATCATAGTTACCAAACATGTAGGATAGTAGTATAGATATTTCCCCGCAACTCGGGATTATATGTAGTATATATGTACCATCTGGTTATTTAACATAGCCATGGAAAATCACCATTTTTAAGAACGGTAAACCATCTATTTCTATGGGCCATCTATACCATGGCTATGTTAGTCATAACCAGAGGGTAAACCTCCATTGTCCTATGGATTTCCTATGGATCCCATGGTTTATCGAACCAACTGGGGCACCACAGTGGATTGCACCTCGAGTCAATTGGCTCACCACAAAGACCACCGCATTACCTCGGTGTTTCAGACTGGTGCCATAGTCAAAAAACACGGTGTATACATATATATATATATATGTATGTACAGGTGTATATATATAATATATATATACCTATATACTATATACCGATCATATACCTATACGATTATGGGTCAAAACCTTGTACCCCTGTTGACATCATAATAGCTGGTAATACGGTAATACGTATATCATGACCGTCCCCAAAAAAATGGGAAAACACACCATGCTTTGAGCGTGGCACATTTGGGTACTTGGAGGATCATACCACGAATCGCAACTGGATACACCACTTTCACCTAGGACCTAGGGGACTGATATACTAACAGTTGGGTTGAAAACCAGATACGATTTGTGGGATGATCCTTGGAAGTATGGGTCACGGAAAAAAGGGTTTTCCAAAAATGGGATGGTATTTACAATCCTATGAAAATGGACCAACATCTTTTCCGCTCCCTTCAGAATCTGTCTGGCAACGGATCATTGCCGGGAAAGCAAGGAGTTTTTTCATACCTATGGTCGGACTTGTTTCAGGGTTAATAAAAGGAAAAAGCGTAGTTCAGAATTCAGAGCTGATCCAAATACCTTTTGGAAATGAATGGCACTGGGAATTCCTGCCGACCCGGTCTTGGTGTAAGCTTTATTTGTTCTAGTCATTGGTCATTTTTTTTGCCCATCAAGTATCAAAGATTTGTTTGTCTTGGTCCACAGCTCCATTTCCAGTGGAAAAACTGTTTGTACCAACGGGCTCACATGTTGATGATTGACTATGGTTCAAAAATCACGTTTACCCTCTGGTAAACTAAGATAGCTATGGAAAATCACCACTTTTCATAGATAAATCAATGATACATGGCCAGTTTCAATAGCTATGTCAGATTACCAGAGGGTAATCCTCACTGTACATTGATTACATCCCCAATTTCCATGGTTCTGGAACATGGGATCCAATTCACCAACCAAAAATTTTAGGCCATTCTTTCGCATGATTCCACTCTATGTACAAACATGCTTTTACTACCCTCCAGCAATCAGACATTGCAACTGGGAATCCCCCAAAAAATCCCTTGTAAATGGAGGTTTATACCTGGGAAAATCATCTATCAGCTCTAGATTAGCAATCCATGGTTGATTACCGGAAGGTACATGCCAATAAATTGCACTAAATCCATCCAACTCCTATTAAACAACATTAAACGTCATCAAAAAACACACCATTCTTTTGTCTCTTGAAAGTTGAACAACCACTGAACCCCAGGGACTGGCTTCGCCACCGAGATGCTCCGATTGATGGGAAATTGATAGGCTGAAGCCATGAGTTCTTGTTGCAACGTCACGAAAGCCTGGACGAAAACCCATGACAAAAATCCTGGTGGTTTTTTGGAGAAACCATGGACTTTTCGTGAGGTTTTTGTTCCATGGCTTTTTCCCTATCAATCTAAATGTTGAGAAACCCCAGAGGAAACTGAGGAAAACGAGGAAAACCCATGGATTTTTCCCAATCTGAGGTTTGGTTGGGAAATGTTGGGAAACTTTCAAGGAAACTGAGGAGAAACGACCAGTCTAAAGGTGGACATTACCATATTCTTTGAACAAGGTGGTGCAACCCCAACACATCCCAGGAAATGTAATTCGCATTTGTCTTACCATTTGTTGTGTTTTTGTGCTAAACCACTGGCTGCAGATGATATACCTGCGGGCTGGTCGTTTGTCAAGACAGGTATAGGATCATGATGGATCATGTTCCTTATCAAGAACCATATCAGTAATCAAATGTCATCAAATTTATGCTTCCATTTCAAGTAGTTTATGATCATATCAGTATGAATCATTATATCTATATAATTGATAATACCAGTTTGTATTGGTATTTCAGTAGAGGTAAAGAATTAAGGACCTGGAAGAATCTAAGGACATTGAAGCCAGAGATGTCGGTCATTCAGGGAAGTAATTGGTTACTTGGAGGATCATCCCACTTGGTAACTGATTGATAACCATATGATGGGGTCTGAGATCCATGCGGATCCCCCTATTTTCAGCATGTTTTTAGGGAGGGAAAATGAAGAGAAACCATCGGAACTGGAGGTAGCCTATTTTCAGACTAACCCATATTTATATATATACACTATATAGTTGCTAACCATTTCATATACTAGTTGGTTACTAGTTGATTTTGGTATGGATCGGGGGTATGGATCGGCCTGTGGGTAACCCGGGTATGGATCAAGATTCTTCGATCCCCAGAGCTCTTGAGGAACTCCAAGCTGGGAGGGGAAACTATACCAAGTTCCCTGTGAAGCTCACTCCGGTTCCACATGGATAATTATACGATACCCAAAAAAAACATACATTCAATGGATTGGTTTAAGGGAACATCTACAGGAAACCATGGTTTTTACCACCAAATATAGGGGTTTCCTGTAAATTTTCCCATCATCCAATTCTATGATACATATGGCTAGCGGCTAACGACTACAACCCACCCTCCGCGGTTTCTGTTCTTGGACCCCAACCATGTTGCTGCCCTCAAACAGCCCCTTTTAGGAAGCGGATTCGCCGTTTAGAAAGAACAGGCGGGCAATCGAAACGGGTCCCACCAACTAGTCAATACTAGTTGTATATGCCATGGTATTCCATAAGTCTTCCATAATATATATATATACAATTATACATATATATCCCCATTTTAGATCATAGATCATAGATCATCTTAGTTGGTTAAATCATGTCAAATCCCACACGTGTTCCCAGTCGCCATGATCCGCTCATGAATGATCGAGGAAAGACTGCCGTTTATCATCTGCTGGGCGATTTGAATTCCTAGTTACTACAATAGCCTCTGGCAGAGCAGCATGGGGCCCCCCAGTGATGTTTGCTGGTTTATAAACCATGAAATTTCCCATTTCCCCCATGAAAACTATAGTTCGTTATATCATGTTATATCTACCATAAACCATAGGAATTCAGACACAAACAAAAGGCAACGGTTCACGCGAACTCGACTGGGTTTTTCCATCCTGTAGAAATACGTGGCTTTTCAACTTTAATAAAGAATCTACCCTCTGGTAAATTAACATAGACCCTGCCAGATGGGGGTTGGAAGACTAGTTTCCATTAAAAATTTGTGATTTTCAGGGTCCAACTGTTAATTTACCAGAGGGTACATTTATGTTAGTGGATCTGTTTGTGGTCAATATCTGTTTATGAACTCACTGGACATGCACAGGTGTTTCCTCACAGGTTCTCTTGGGACTTTCCAGCCATGGGACTGATGACCTTCACATAATCTTCCCATATGACTGGTTGGTGGTTTTTCGCCTACCCCTCTGAAAATTTTCTGGACTTGGTCAGTTGGGATCATGATATATTCCCAAGTGTTTCTGGAAAGTCGTAAAATTCCATGGTTCCAGTCAGCACCGTTCCCAGAAAAGGGGCTTTCATCCATGGTATGGCAATTTTTAGTCTCCCATCCCCTGGGTCGTCATGACTCCCATCAGCTTATAACCATTTATAATCATGGTTTTGAACCACTAATACCCATGACGGATCCATGGTGCTGCTATATATGGTAACATTTATATACATTTATCATCAATATACCCCAGTCATGTCCGCATATATACCAGCACCATGGATCCGTCATGGGATATAGATTATAGATAGGCAAAACTGCTAACCAATAGGTAACCAATATAGATAGGTTCTAAATGGATCTAAATGCTTATAAGTTAGAACTTAAAGTTATGACCCCACTAACAAGCCACACCAAGCAGAACTGAAAAAATCCTGGGGTGACCCTCCAGGCACCTCATCGCAACTCTGGCCCACCACTTTCAAGGTGATGTCGGCAGCAATCACTCCCTGGATGGTTGATACCCAGTTTATAGATGATCTACCAGTTGATTTACCCATTAAAAATGGTGATTTTCCATAGTTATGTTAGTGGTTGACCTAGCCCTCTGAAAAATATGACTTTATACTGGTTGGTGGTGCAATAACCATCTTGAAAAATATGAGTTCGTCAATGGGAAGGATGACATCCCATACATTCTGGAAAATAAAAAATGTTTGAAACCACCAACCAGCCAGTTTATAGATGATCTACCAATAGAAGAGAGTGGCTGGTAGATTTAGCTATGGATGGTCATTTCTTACATAGCTATGGAAAGGAACAGTAATCAACCCGTTTATAGATGATCAACCAATGGACGTCCATCATTGCCCAGGGTACCTTCCAGTTACCAATAGGATGGGTACCTATCTGACAGGTAACTGGAAGATTGGTGTTGGATAAGAAACAAGAACCATCATGTTTGTGTCAAATCCCGATAATATCCGTGCGTTCCAGTGATCTGCTGGGGAAAAGAGGTCTGGGTATGGTCTGGCTTGGGATTTCCGGTCCGACATTTGCCATTGATTCATATGTATTCTATATGCATTCTGTATTCATAGTTCTTCTGGATTCCTTCTGTCTCGTGGATTCCCCATTTCTGGTCTCCCATGGTATGCCTACACAGATCTAGACAGCAATGTGCATTCGAAACGCTGGATGTTCAGCGGCTGATCACCAGCAACGAACATCAATGATTCCAATGGCACATTCGAAGCCATGTTAAGGGGTGCATCTCAATTGGCAAGTGGTTAACCATATTAAAACCCAGTTATATATAATTACATATGATGATATACTGGTCGGTGGTATACCTACCCCTCTGAAAAATATGAGTTCGTCAGTTGGGATGATGACATTCCCAATATATGGAAAAACAAAATTCATGTTCCAAACCACCAACCAGATGATATATGTATGTGCATATCTAGGGATTCTAGGATATTCCGGTATACCCCAGTTATACATGGTTTGTTCACCGCTATGGATTAAAATCATACCCCGACTCCCCGCACCTCAAAGCAAGAGTAGTCTCCACAATACGCCACGGGTGCTGTCTTGGTAAGACCGATGGTGGTACCATCCAGGTAGACGTAGAGCCCTGACCACCTAAAAACACTCCATCGGCTTGGTGAGTTCCAACTAGTTCCAACGGGGATTAGGAAGAATTTGTTGAGCACTCTCAAGGCGTTGTCTCCATACTTAGCGAAGTTGGACTTCGTTTCTGGGTGAACTAGACTTTATACTGGTTGGTGGTGCAATAACCATCTTGAAAAATATGAGTTCGTCAATGGGAAGGATTATCCCATATCATATGTTATGGAACTTACAAAATATTTGAAACATGTTGAAACCACCAACCAGTTATATTTACAGTTAGATGGGTTTATAAACCAGCAAACATCACTGGGGGGCACCTGGGACATTAAAGCTGCCGGGTTTCTGTTTGTATAAAAATAGTATAAGGGTATAGCCAACAACAGATTGGATTTCAAACCGACCATGGGCTGACTGGTTGGACAATGTGCTCGTCAACTGAGTTCAGGCTTTTCGCCCAAAGATGGGTGGAAAAAGTCATAGATAGATAGATCTCAATTGCCCTACCAAATGAAAGCACCATGAACATACCATCCATGAAAGCGTCATGCGGCTTTGAACTTAAGTAAAAGTCTCTATTTTGACATGTTTTCCAATTTCAACTTAATCTCTGTTTTGACATGTTTCCAATTTATTCCAATTTCATATCCAGATCTTATCATAACAATTTCAACATGCCCTTCCTTTGCGTTCCACATCCGTTTTTCGGTTTCAACCAAGGAACAAGCGCTTGAGTGGACCACCGATCTCTGCCATGTTGGATTGCAAGGTATACCATGGCCGTTTCAACGGAAACTTCTCATTGCACTCTGGGTCCTGGCGAAGGAAACTTCCCCGTGATCAACGCGGTAAAAATTTGTCGTTCCTAAATTTTATGGTAAACCCATCTACAGGAATCCCAAAGGCGGAGAACTAAGTGCTTGGCTCCTGTCGGTTACCGTTTGAAACCATATGAAACTATCCGAATCTGAAGTGCAGATGTTGTGAGGTCATCTCCCACAAATCCAGAGATATATATGATTAGATGCAAGTGGGACAACCGAAAAGCAAAAAAAAACTGGGCACGGGCAAAATATGTGAAACATGTCCGTCAATCTCAAAAGGCAGGACGTTCCATCCATTTCTGTTTTCACCCAATCGCACCAAGCCCTCAATCTATGTGGTAACCCTTCGTCTTCCGAGTCGTTAGCATTGTCTTCCCTCTCCAACAAAAAATTGCCAAATACATGGTCACTCTTTGATAGTCCACAAATATATATATATAATATAATATATATATATATAATATATATATATAATATAGAATATATATAATATAGAATATATATAATATATAATATACATAATATATATATAACTTGTTGCTGATTATGGCTAGTTGATGATTTGTTTAATGGTCGTTTTCCATAACAAAAAACGTCGTCCGGATGACTTTCCTCACTCGCCGGTCGCGGATGGCAGGATCCCAGGCAAGCTCTATTTTTAGTGGAGATGAATACATATATACAGTTTTATATGTGTATATATATATATATGGTTATATACATATAATGTATAATATATATATAGTTATATACATATAATGTATATATATATATAGTATATACATATAATGTATAATATATATATAGTTATATACATATAATGTATATATATATAGTAATATACATATAATGTATAATATATATATAGTTATATACATATAATGTGTATATATATAGAGAGTTATTTACATATAATGTATATAAATAATTATATACATATAATGTATAATATGTATATATAGTTATATACATATAATGTATATATATAGTTATATACATGTAATGTATATATATAGTTATATACATATAATGTATAATATATATATATATAGTTATATACATGTAATGTCTATGCATATATACAGTTATTTACATATAATGTATTATATATATTATGTATATGTATATATATATATATAGTTAAATACATAATGTATATATATATAGTTATATACATATAATGTATAATATATATATAGTTATATATATATATATATGTGTACATTCAGAATGGCCAACTTTTTTTGGTAAACCCATGCAAACTCCCCACTAAAATGGAAAACCCCAATGTGTCAATGGAATAAAATGGATTTAAATGGATTAATTTGATGCAAACATCTACAAGAAATCATGGTTGTTATCCAAAGATCCCCTAAAATGTGAGTGTGTTTTCAAAATTTCCCTCTTTGAATTGTCGAGAAAAAGAGCTGCATCCAAAGGTCTTTCTTCACCACACCGAGCTCTAAGAAGGTGTCTTCAGCAGTGCTGCTATGCAGCGGACAATCAAACCACTTCGCCTCCAGATTTTCTGCTGAGGAATTTGTCGAAGCAGGGGATGTCGGGACAAACTAAGCGTTTTCTGCGGATATGACAACCAAATATCACCAAGATTATGGTTGATATGGAATATTACATGATATATTATATATCCACAATACATATGTATAATATGCATTGGATAACCAATGTAGTTGCCACACAATGGATATATCCCAATAAAATCATATAATATTATATATATATTTATTTATTATACATACTAGTAAGCAATGATCTGATTAATATGGGTGCTTCGTTGATCCAAGTTACCAAGGTGGTCGGTTGGTGGAGAAACATAGGGTAAATCCTAGAGTTGTCTACAGATTCCAGGTGCCCAAACCATCCTCAACCACAAAGTCACATTAAGTCACTAAGTCCTTGGGAATATGATTCAAACTTCGTCAACAAAGCCCTTTGCCAACAAATTCTCCGAAGACATGGCGGTTTAACCAGCCACCTTGTATCCCTTCTGCGTGTCTTCATTCCTCAGGCGGAATGATGTGCCAGAAAAATCGCCACCTTGGTCGCTGGAACTTCTTTGGAGCTGACAGGCCTTGGGTTTGTCTCAAAGTTCAGGGGAAAAAACATCTGTTTTTGATGGTTTCTCAAGTCGTTTCTCGGAAAAGAAAGTGGAGGATCCAGGAAAAGACTTTCCGTTTTCGATTATCATCCCTATTAAACCATGAATATCCCATATTATCATCACATTCATATCCCATTAACATCCCATATGATTATACCAACATGCCAAGCATTGCCAAGCACTCTCTCCCCTGAGGCCTTGACCCTGAAAAGCCACATACAGAAAGTCTGCAGCACCGGTTTCTGAGCAGCGGAGGTTCGCGGCTGGGGATATCTGCGAGAAGTTCCCAACGGTTATTCTTTGAAAGACACACAGTCAATGACATTAATATTCTTCAATCTGTCCAACCACAAATGGTTTCCCAGAAACTCGGGTTGTTTTAGCTTAAAACGACCTGTATAATTTTGTCTAACCGAGAGGTTATTCAAACATATTCCAACCATACAATAGTTCAATATGTCATGTTCATTCATTTGCTATTTTGGTTTGCCTAAAAAAGGAGTACCCCATTACATCCACTTCTTCAAACCGCATATTTTCCCATGAACATTGCCAAAACCTGAGGACCTGAGGATCATGAGGCTCCTGAGGATCGCACATAAAACGGATTGATAGACGCACCTATGGTAAAACTTGGCAAAATATGAATGATTATGAATGTGTGTTTTTGTGTTTTGCTCCAACTACTGGGTATATCAGTTTGAATATCATCAATTAGTATATTATATCATATTATATATATATATTATGATATATACATATGAATATATATGTATACTCAGCATCGCCACAAACGCAACTTGGGCCAAGTTAACAGCGCCTTGATAGTCCCCAGGTCTCCCGAGGACTGACCTGACCACCAAGGGGCGTCGGTGGGTGTGGTTGGCCTCCTTTTGCCTTGGTGGTGAAGCTGCTGCCACCGTTTCGGCCGTCCGTGAGTGGAAAGGATTTTCCATAGTTTTTTGTATGTTTACCAGAGGCTAACTCATATTTATGTGTATATGTACTGGTTGGCCATTTGCACCCTTCCTGTGTGTTAGTTCTATATCCCATACGGTCCCAGTTTATGCTATTATATATATATATATCCTATTGTAGGTCATCATATCCCAGTATATCCGATTGATTTCCATTAAGTATCATTGAGTTATATGTGATTAATTACGTCTCAGTATATTCCATTCTATTCCATTCTATCCAATTACCCTCTGGTAATTTAACATAGCTATTGAAAATGGCCATTTATAGTGAGTTTTCCCATTAAAAATTGTGATTTTCCATACTTATGTTAGTTTACCAGAGGGTATGTCCCATCATGTCCCACTACAATTACCAAATATATCCCACTAGATCTCACTTTGTCCCATGAACGATACCCTCCGCTCGTCGTTCACGTGGCTAGCTGGGAAATCTCCGAACCAAAAAGATATGTTTATCTGGGGTAAATCATCGAACTAAATGGTGGGTGTTCATCTATATCCCGCTATATATCTCATGAATGTCCATTCTATCCAATATTTTCCCACTACATTCCACTGATAAGCATTATCTTCTTCAATGAAAGGCCCTCAAGCCACTCGCGACTGGCTTCAGATACATGATATATGATCAACTAGTTACTTCATGCCAGTTGTAAACGTTAAGGGCCACAACTAGTTGCTAAGTATTACCGATTTTTAGTTGCTAACCATTTCATGTACTAGTTGGTTGCTAGTTGATTGGTATTATATATTACCCCCTAGTACATATATATATATATACACATATTGGGATAATTCCCCGAATCCTAACCATGATTCCAGCGAGGTCACGACGTGAGGTCACTATAATTTGCCCAGATTTCATAGTAATTAAGGAGGATTCAACCGGGCCATAATTTATAATAATCTGGCCATAATTAAACCTTTCTGGGCTGTTATTTTCTAGTGTTAAGGGCCATAAGAACAGTTTTTTCCACTCCGCTGCCCGCCAAAAACGCCAAAAAACTGTTGCTGCAACTCCAAGAAGGCGCGATAAGCCATGGCCGCCCGCTGCTTCTCCTGAGCACTTGTTGTTGATGCAATACACCAGATATGAATTATATAATAATCAATCTAAAAGATTCTACAAGTACTTTGAGATAAGCTCAGGAAATTCATCGCTATTCTATCTTTTAGGGGGTTGCTGCATGATTTTTTTGGAAGGTTTTATTTGGTACAGTTGGGTGGTCACTGAAATCATCCAGCAGATGTCGGGAAGGGAAATCCAATGACGTTTTCATCGTTCAACATGGGGTGTAAATCTTCCTTTTTGAGCATCTCTGGAAGGACGATAGGTATAAATTTCTGTATATATATATATACATACATATATTGATATATATATATATATATATATACACGTATATACATATGTATATATATATAGATGGATGGATGGATGGATGGATAGATAGATAGAGATATAGATAGATAGATAGATAGATAGATAGATAGATAGATAGATAGATAGATAGACAGATAGATAGATAGATAGGATTAGATTAGATTAGATTAGATTAGATTAGATGAGATGAGATGAGATGAGATTAGATTAGATTAGATAGATAGATAGATTAGTCTATTTGTATACTTAGAATTAGAATATTGGAATGGCGATAATTGGATGCACTATACAAGAAGATAAGGGGAAGATTATTTTCGATGGTATAAAGTATAAACCCTAAATTATAGAGGTTGGTTAAAAACCCTAAACGGAAAAGCATTCTAGAACGAACACAAGGGGACGATTAAAAAATCGTGACTTGGGGTACCAAGTTCACCAGGTCGCGTCGGACTCAGGTGTTGACCCAGGGTTCGGACTGGATCGTCAGACTCCACAGTTATGGCCAGGGCGGCCATGGCTATTAGTTATAACTGGCTATTTCAATGGGAATTGTACATTCTATACATGGGATTTTGTTAATAGTTATAAGTGGTACCCTCTGGTAAACTAACATAAGTATGTAAAATCACCATGTTTAATGGATAAATCCAGTATAAATGGCAATTTTCAATAGCTATGTTAGTCATTACCAGGCCGGGTATTTCGGGCCATTTTTCTGCAGTAAAAATCCGAAACAGTGCCCGCACCACCATTGCTGAAGAGTGCGAAGACTTGCCCTGATGTTCTGACGCGAGTTGCCCTGATTTGGTTCTCTTCCACAGCTGCGGCTCTTTGATGGTTACCCTCTGGTAAACTAACATAAGTATGTAAAATCACCATGTTCAATGGCTAAATCCACGAACTAAATCACCATTTTCAATAGCAAACAGTTGACATAACCAGAGGGTAGAGTGTTCAAAACACGAAATTTCCTTACATTGTTTTTCGTACGGGCCATTCCCAGTTCGTGGATTGCGTTAACTCCCTGTATAACTGTAAATTGGGTATACTTTAGCCACATAGCCCCCTATAGTCATCGATCAGAGGGGGCTTGGAACACTGCTCACATGGGTTTTGATCAAGGTTATGTCATCCTAAAATGTCCATTCTCAACAGAGCTGCGCTGTACCCCTCGGCAATCGAAATTTACTCCTCGAAAATCCTCACAAATCATATCCCTCATCACCTATGACCTCAACGAATGAACATGAATTGAAAGTAGATTTGTATGAATTATATAACATCCAATTAAGGACAATACTGTAGATGAATTAAGTAGATCCCTTATATATGCTCAAATTCATGAATTCATGACCCTTAACTCCCCAAACCTGATCCCAAAAAAAACATATCCCGGCAAGAGACCCCAAACAGTGTGGGGGGGTTGGGGGGATAATGTATGATAATGTATGATAATGTTGATGATGATGATGGTGATGATGATGATGATGACGATGATGTTGTTGATGATGATGATGATGACGATGATGGTGAGGACGAGGATGACGATGACAATGGTCATGATGGCGATGATGATGATCATGATGATGACCATGATGATGATGATGATGGTGATGATGATGATGATCATCATCATCATCATGATGATGATGGTGGTGGTGGTGTTGATGATGACGGTGAGGATGATGATGAGGGTGGGGATGATCATGATCGGCCCAGAACCTAGGACCACACTTGTGCGAGCCTGCCCTGCACAGTCGCAATGCATGTCAACATATCACAAGAGCCACTTTATACGGAAATTTACAGGTAAAAGGCCGCAGACCAGAAGCTAGGACCACACTTTCTGCGAGCCTGCGCAGTCGAAATGCACTTCAACATGTCATAAGAGCCACTTCGCAAGGAAATTTACAGGAAAAATGCCGCCCCAGAAGCTAGGACCACAGCGCGAGCCTGCGCAATCGAAATGCATTTCGTCACAAGAGCCACTTTACACGGAAATTTACAGGAAAAATGCCGCGCCCCAGCTTGAGCCCAGAACGCGGACACACACTTTGCGCGAGCCTGCGTGGTCGAAACGCATGTCAACATTTCACAAGAGCCACTTTTTACAGAAATTTACAGCAAAAAAGGCGCGAGACCAGAGTGAGCACCCTGATCAAGCACCGGCCTTTACAGCTTCCGTAAGAACCCCTCAGTGTGGACACACTGTTTGGGAAATTAAGTTGCTGAGCACCCCCTCAACTGTTCGGGGGTGAACAAGGGCCCCCCCTGCTAGTCAGCATCCAACATTAAAAAAAATAGCTAGTGTAACCCCGTGTAGTCATCGGTCCTGTCCCAAGGTGTCTTGAACACTGCTCAAGTGGCCATTCAAAATTTTAAGCATGTTCCAATCCTAAGTTGGTGATTTTTAGTATCAATTTTAATATCAACTAAAGTATCAATTTTTAGTATCAATTTTAGTATCATTTTCAGTATCAACCTAAGTATCAACCATTTTTAGTATCAACCATCCAATCGTTTAACATCAATTATCCACAGCCCAGCGGCCGTCTGGCCCGTCCAGGCCGGATCAAAGCTGTGGGACATTTGCCTTGGCACAGAGAATTCAAAGATGAAAAATGGGGAACCAAGCAGAACCATTTGGGCTAAATTGGGGATATATAATATTGATGTTTCATGGCACATATATATATTTTTTTTTTCAAAACCATGAATCAACGGATTGGTTTTCTTGGGAAAATCTTCACTGGAAACCATGTCTTTTCCCATGAAATGCTTTCGGGGGTTCCGGTTTCAACTTTCCCCCAAACCAATCTATTGAATTAAAGATGGTGGGTTAGTGGGATATGAATGGGGATATTTCATGGCGTAAAAAACCAACTCTATTCAATTTGGGCGTGTCTGAAAAAACAACAAAATATAGCTACACAATGGAAAATATCATAGGAATATACTGTAATAGATTGTATTTTATATATTTTTCTGACCAACATTTTGCTTGATATGACATTGCCTGAAAATGTGGTATACCTTCCGAATAATCATTTTCATGGGAGAAAATGATAATAATCCATTGTGCCATTGGATTTTGGGTACCCTATTTTCAGGCAAACCCATATGACGATGCTGGTTTGTGGGATATATGTATCCTTTAAAGAATATATGATGATGTATATACAAATATTGCAGGATATTCAACCAACTTTTGAAGTTGCATATGTCCATAAATGGATGATTTACATCCAATTCCGAATCAATTTATGGCAAGGTTCTCAATGGCTGATGATACTCCAATAGGGCGTAACCAATTTTCAGGCAGACTCGACTCGAATTGCTTTAAATGCATTAAAGGAAAATCAAGAAAAAAGTATCTACAGTTCGTGGTGAGGACCTGGATTCCCTGTGGACTGTCCATGAAATTGATCCAGTGAGGCCTGTACTGTAAGTGCTTAATAACTCGCACATTAGGAACTGCGTAGCTGGTTGAGACACATATTGACACAACCAATGAGGAAATCCCATTCTTGCTTCTGCAATCTCAAAAGTTGATGTTCACATCCCCATGGGACATGTTCCCAGAATTTGTGGAATTTTGATTGGATTTCACATGATTTGACAACGGCCAGTGAGGCCGTTGCAAATTCACCCAAATACAACAAACCTACACTAGGGAGTTCCCTAGATTAGCTAACTTAGTTTATGATATAGGTTTGCCATGGTTTACTATGGTTTATGGTAGGTGCATCCATAAAGTTTAAACGGTTTATAGTTCCTATTGTGACCCCTGTTTGTCCATTTACTTTTGATTCACTATTACTTTAGCCAGTTTTTAAACCCCCGTACCCTCCAGTAACCTAACAGTTTGTCATGGAAAACAACCATTTTTGATAATTAGCTAAATCATCTATGTTCATGGGCCATTTTCAATAGCTATGTCAGATTATGGAAGGGTACATCCAATTTTCAGCCAGACCCAAATATATAATATTAAGCTTTGTCTATATGCGTGTCATTACATATTTCACTATATCATATTACAGTATTTGGCTGAATTATCATAATTCTCTAAGCTGAAACATGGTCAATCTTTGGCAGTCCACGAAAACATAATCTTTATTATGGTTATTTCCATTTATAGCACAAAACTGCAGGATTAAAGTATCCATCCAGTCGGTTGGGGATGAAAATAGCTGTTATCGTACCGCCAGCTATGTGGATGATTCCTCGCCATCTCACCATCTCTCCAGCGACGTCACATGAGGTGATGATCAAACGCGTCCAGACATATCATGAATATAGATGAATATAGATGAATATAGATGAATATAGATGAATATAGATGAATATAGATGAATATAGATGAATAGTACTTAATGATATATATATATATACCTATCACTAACTGGTATGGGAAAGAGTAAGGACTAAGGAATACAGTATATTTCTCATGATCCTCTAGCGAATGATCATAACTATTGGACATCCCCATTTTTATAGATAAGTAATCTATGGTCCATGGACCCCGTCGAATCCCAGCATTGTTCGCGGCTGGCCGCATGGTGCCCCAGAGAGCGTCAATGGCACGATCCGGGGGCTCCATCACCTCACAGGGGCCACTTTTCATAGGGTGACAGTGGGGCCACTTTTCCGCGGGGTAAAAAAGATGTTTGTTAGTAACCACTTATATATATATATGATAAGATGTTCAACATACTTCATGTTAGGAACCACCTATATATATATTTATAAGTATATAGTGTTCTCATGAAAATATTGCACAAAGACTATACTATAGAATATAGTAGTGTATAATGGTGGGGGTTCTAGTAACTTATCTAATAAGAGTCATAATAGTGATATATAGTCTATGTAATCATTATAAACCCCACGTAATTAAAGTATATATATATACATATAAATATATATATATCCCTATATATTTATCAACTGGTTATTTTAACTGACTGGGTATATATACGCGCTGACACCATCGTTTGCCCAAGAATTCAAAGGCCACAACAATGTACGTATATCATAGATCAAGTGAACTATCAATACATGCTGATCCGCATAACATGATCATACTTGTTTAGATATTGGTCATACCATACGGATTAAAATATAGATGCATGGAAATTGTGACATGATTGGATGCATATCATACCATGTCGGGTCTCTGTTCTGTTTTAACAACCAACTATATACAGTAACTAATAGCAACTAATCTTAAAACTAATCATGCTCACTCAATGTTCATCCACGTCTGAAGTTCATGGCAACATTGACACTTCGCCGTGCCGCAGTAACATACAGTCGCGGCCCAAAGGGAATGAAGGCTTGGCAGCTCTTGTTGGATTGGCTCACGCCAGCAGAGCGGGCCCGTCTCACCCGTGCAGCGGTGGGATTCTGCCGAGACGTTCAGTGGGTCAGGACGGTAGCCCGCAATACTCACACAAACACTAAGAGATGCTACAACAAAGGACCTGTATGATTGATTACCATCTTCCTCATGACCCGTGAAAGATACATCTCATTACCATTCCATTTAGGTTGGCGGGGGTTTGGGGGGGTATCCTGCTTGTTCCTCATCATTACATGCCAGATTCTTCCCCATGACCCCTGAAGATACATATCATTACCATATAAGTTGGGGGGGTTTTGGGGGGGTATCCTGCTAATTCATCATCATTACATTGCGACGATGATGATTCTTCCCGGTCCGGGGCAAACGATGGCGTTTGACCGTATATATACTCTATATATATATACACATATAAAATAATTCATGTAAGTACGTACCTAGGTGGGGTTGTAAAGTTAGAAAGTCCCTAGACGTCCCTAGTTAATAACGCAACAATGGTTTAATAGGATCTAATGGATCCAATGGGATAGTTACCCTCTGGTAACATAGTTTAGCTGGGAAATCCCCGAACTAAATTGTCCTCTAAAAGAAAAAACATAGAACTAACCCTATGGATCCAAACACTGTCTGAGAAGGTACTTAAGCCTCCAAATGATAGTAAATTATACCCCAAACACTTCCTAAGAAGGTACTTGGATCCATAGGGTAAATGCTGAAATTGCCCAACCATAATGACACCGAAGGTAATAGTAATAGCCCTAGTTTTTGTCCCTCCAAGGAGTTGCTTAACCGCCTTTTCGTGTAGGGGCTTTCCCAGCGGTGTGCCATGAGTACCTATGGTGGGAGGAAAATGCCCAATGTATGGCAAACAACTATATGGGGATGGGTCAAAACCCTGGTACCTAGTGAACCCCAAAATAGCTGGTAAATGGATGTTCATCCCACTAAAAATGTATCTATAGGTATTGACCCATACCCATATAAATGAACATTTTGACATAACTACTGAACTATCGGGACCCAAACCTGTGACAGCATCTTGCAACACATGCTCAACTTGTAGTAACCATATAAAATACCCCACTTAAATTAATGGCATATCCCAAAATATGTTGTTATGGCATGTCCCCAAATATATAGAGATATATGATGCTATCAGTATTATATCCCCAGTATTCCCCAGTTCTATGTGTATGATTATATATATACACACCATCTGACTATTTAACATAGCCATGGAAAATCACCATGTTTAAGAACGGTAAACCATCTATTTCGATTAGGGCCATCTATACCATGGCGAACTGTTAGTCATAACCAGAGGGTATATGTTTTAACATGTTACAAAACAGCAAAAAAAAACAGGTCCAGTAGCCCCCTGGTGATTTTCACCACTGAACCACGGATCCCACGGATCCGATCCCAGGGATCCAGACTGTTTCCCAGAGCAGGTTTCTGATTCGCCCAAGAATACTGCCTCAGGGTGGCCAAAAAAACCATGACTCTCCGCCAAAAAAAGGAGACATTGCTAGGGAATGCTAGGGATATCTCACTTAACATCACTTAACTCGGCATTTCCTGAAATGGGGGTACCCCTAAATCAGCCATTTTAGATTGGGATTTTCCCTTATAAACCATCCAGCTATTGGGGTATCCGACCCATGGCCTATATGCCATTGACAATCAAGAAACCACCAATTGGGCGAGTGTGGCTTCATTCTTGTAATGATTAATGATTGAGATCATTGACTATATATCATTGTGATTGAGATAATTACATATCATATATTAATATGCCATGATGATCATAAGATAATTACATTATATCAGGAGATAATAGAAATAGTTGATGTTCCCATTAAAAATGGTGTTTTTTCCATAGCTATGCGGCTGTTTACCAAAGGGTAACTCATAAGTCCATGATCATTCTATTACATGCCATCCCAAATTGGGGCGAATTTCTGCACCGAAAAAACCTGGCGGCACCGTGCTATCCATTAGATTTTTTTATTAAATGATCTATGTTCAATTATGAAATACCAATTATCCACATTTATCCACATTTATCCACATTTATCCACATTTATCCACATTTATCCACTATATCCACCCACTATCCATTATATATCCCTGTCATTCCTGGTGATATCCCTAAGGGACATCCCTTTGACCAATTACATGCGTTATTTTAACATGCCGAAAGTTACTTTGGGATACACAAAAACTTCTGACTCACCGCAACATAGGGAGTTTCTGGGTGGTACGGTGGTACTGTATGAATCATGTTGGGAAGAAGGGATTACGAAAAATCGACGGAATCAAGTTTAGTTTATGTCTCACTTTGTGGTGAATGGTCAGAATGGACATGAGGTGATGCACAAAACAGCTGTTTGTTGGTTGTGTGCCCAGTCTTACTGGATAATTATGGCAAAATTACCAACCATGTCTCTTGCTTAAAGACCATGTTTTCTGCTGGTAGAAACTCACTCTTTGCATTGGATGCACACCAGCAATTGATAGTGCAATCCCAAAATGGTCCAATGTGCAGGTGCTAAAACTCAAATCATTACAGCCCCATTATTACCACTAATAAATAGACTCTACAATGAATTGGTGATTGGAAGACCTAGATGGGCCACAGCAAGCCAAGTGGTGACAGTCGGATATCATCGATATGATCATGATATACCCCACGAATAACTCAACTAACCCTCAACTATAATGGCTCTACAATGGCTCTATAGCTTACAGCCCCTTCCAAAACCACCTCCCTTTCAAAGGGAGCCGAGGCTCGGTGTGACGCGGTGGCGGCACGGGAGGTCAGTTCTTCAATCAGGCCGAACTGACGATTCACCGATTTGCCAAAACTCCTCAGTGTCGCATCGGGACGGCGGCGGATCTGAGAAAAACCGTGGGGAAATCCATGGATGGGATTTTTTGGTGGTCGGTTGTTTGGGAGCTACAAAGCTGTGGGATTTTTCTAGGGATGATATACCCCTTAGCGGGATTTTGTGGCTATCCATAAGTTGGTGGATTTTTGGCTTAATACTTCTCACCTATGAGATTTAACAGCTTAATACCCATCATGTATGGGGGTTTCTGGCATAATATCTATCGCTTCTTGGATTGCATGGCCATCATTTCTTGGATTCTATGACTTATATTATAAAATATGACTTCCAGTCATACCTGTCCCCCGTGGTTGCTGAGCCGTGGTTGCTGAAGCGAGAATAGGGTTGGTTGCTAAGCCGTGGTTGCTGAAGCGAGAATAGGGTTGGTTGCTAAGCCGTGGTTGCTGAAGCGAGAATAGGGTTGGTTGCTAAGCCGTAGTTGCTGAGCCGTGGTTGCTGAAGCGAGAGTAGGGTTGGTTGCTAAGCCGTAGTTGCTGAGCCGTGGTTGCTGAAGCGAGAATAGGGTTGGTTGCTAAGCCGTAGTTGCTGAGCCGTGGTTGCTGAAGCGAGAATAGGGTTGGTTGCTAAGCCGTAGTTGCTGAGCCGTGGTTGCTGAAGCGAGAGTAGGGTTGGTTGCTAAGCCGTAGTTGCTGAGCCTGTGGAGTAGGGTTGGTTGCTGAAGCCGAAGCGAGAGTAGGGTTGGTTGCTAAGCGTAGTTGCTGAGCCGTAAGCGAGAGTTGGTTGCTGAGCCGTAGTTGCTTGCTGAAGCGAGAGTAGGGTTGGTTGCTAAGCCGTAGTTGCTGAGCCGTGGTTGCTGAAGCGAGAGTAGGGTTGGTTGCTAAGCCGTAGTTGCTGAGCCGTGGTTGCTGAAGCGAGAGTAGGGTTGGTTGCTGAGCCGTAGTTGCTGAGCCGTGGTTGCTGAAGCGAGAGTAGGGTTGGTTGCTAAGCCGTAGTTGCTGAGCCGTGGTTGCTGAAGCGAGAGTAGGGTTGGTTGCTGAGCCGTAGTTGCTGAGCCGTAGTTGCTGAGACGGGCTTTACTCCATCGGTCCATCTTTGACCTGTCTGTGAACTGTTTAACTTGCTTAACGGAGCTAAAGTTGGGTTCTAAAGCAGCATCACTGGGGCAACACCTTGTGACTTCCATTGCAACCGGCCTCGTTTTTCATGTCAACATGTGACCTCTTGGGTGGAGACTTGGGAGATGGGAACTTTCCTGGTGAATGGCCGTTGGTCATCCATCCTCCATCTGACAATCAGCAACTTTCCTGTGTCTGAAAATGGGGTACCCCAATTCAAAAAATGATGATCATCATTGTCTTCTCCCTAATAAACATGGCAAATTTAGGGTCTCTTTTCGGTCGGCACTTCCTCAATTCTTGGGCGCATCCAGGTCACCCTCCATGCCCTCCGCGCGGACTCCGCGCCCTCATTTTGCCAAGGTTCTCAGCGGTCTTGGTTTGAAGCTGGGTGGTGAATTCATACAACGGCAAAAACCTGTTGCGAAAACGGCGGGTTTGTTTCGCTGGACATGGAAACTCTGACAACAGGGTCCAACTGGGTGGCAATTTCTTGGTATCTTGACGAGTTATGCAGAAATTTCTTGTCGAGTCATTGTAGATATCGTGTTTTTTTTTGTACACATAAAAAAAAAAAAAACATGTCACCTGTTTTTGATTGTTTTTGCTGAGATAATAAGAATTTTGAATGGAACGCAGCACATATATACCTGCACCAAATGTTGCTTCTTCCTGCATGCTCCATCCGTCCCGTCCGTCCAAGTGGCATCAAGACGCAGGTCAATAAAGCGCCGAAGGCTACAGTCATGATGATAGCCGGACGGAAAGGAATCTCGGAGGGGGCAAATTGGGGCAAAGTGACCAAGTTGGAAAGTGGATGATGTGGCGCCCTGGTGCCCAAAATACCTGGGATTGTTGGTAGGTCTTGATCTATCCCCATGGCCACCCTGAGACATCCTGAGACCAGTGCATCCCACACTAGAAATTCATGATGTGTTGATCCCCGGCTACAAGTCTAACTTCCGGGAGGCATGGCAAACACATGCAATCCCTGAAGTGCTAAAAATTCAATTTGTGGTACAATCACGATCTATTCTACATTTTTTTTTTGTACTTTCCAGATGTGCAACTTGGAAGGTAGTGGCGATTCCACTCACTGGCACTTCTCATCAGCTTGCTTTGCTTCTCAGTTAAAGGGGTCATTTCTCTTGTCCAATGGAATCTTCTAGCGGAAAACCCTAAACCACTGGTACCATGAAACTCTTTGACAGTGATGTGATTGTGGTTTTCTTCTCGGCGACTCCTTATTGTATGTATATATATATAATGTACCAATCTTAGTTTTATACGTTTTATCTCTCTCTCCCTCTCTAAATTGTATGTATCCTATGTATATATATATATACATATGTATATACATATACAAGATACATCACCATACATATATGCACATATTATGCACATATTATGCACATATTATGCACATATTATGCACATATTATGCACATATTATGCACATATTATGCACATATTATGCACATATTCCTTATTCATACACTTATGTAGTATGTACTGTACATATAATTATATATATACATATTATCATTATATGTATATGATATAGGTATACATCTGATATCATCTGATATAGCTACATTTGTCTAGATGTGTTATAGACTGTTACATGGTCAATCTTTGATAGTCCACAAATAAAATACTCTTTTGCTGGTTGGCTGATGATTTTCCATTGATGTTCCAAAAAACGAAAGGATGTATAGTTTCTACCCATCCAATTGGGGATGTATAGATTGTTATACACAGATGATACACAGCATCTCCAACCCTGCCAGCCACTAACTCGGCCAAGGAACTCGGCAACGTTTCGGCCTCGGTTTCTTCTCCTCACCTTTTGAGGCAGGTGAAAATCCTGATACTGGTGAAAATGGTGACTTAAGCAGTCAAATTAGTCAAACATATGCGGATGATGTGGATTTACAGGGTCAAACATATGGTGATTATGTGGATTTAGTGACGTAGAATTCTATTTATACGAGTATATAGTTCTTAAGTCGGTCTTTAGAACATCAAACATTATCAAACCATAGGTACCCACTATGAACCCCACTTAAGCGGGGGCCCTTCCCGTGGTATGTCAAATGTCAATTTTGATATGGGAAATGATTACTGGTTAAAGTGGATTTTGGGGCACCCATCTGGCCACAGGGCATATCAAACCCATGCAGTAAAAGGAAAAGCCAATTTAGTAAAAACATGTACAGTAAAAACAATATTGTTTGACATTGAAACAAGAAATCTTGAAAAAAACCTGGTGTCATTGGCAACTAACCAGATTGTCAAACTCCTCAAGTATGGCAGACTAGGGTTGTGCCAAAAAGAGGCACTCCGAAGACAAACGATAAGACACTTCAATCCAAATGCCATGAACTCATTGAAATCATAGCTGCAAACCTCAAGTGATGCTGGCATTTTGGGGTACCCTCTTGTTATTGAACATAGCCATGGTATAGATGGCCCATTTATAGAAATAGATGATTTCCCAGCGAAATAAACCTCCATTTCTGGGCCAGGGATTTTCCATGGCGAACTGTTAGTCATAACCAGGCCGGGTATAGGGATAGCCCCCAGTCGTGGTATCCCGAGACAATGATAATTGATTTACCATCGGGATTTGGATCCACCGTCCCTCAATTTTACCATGGCTGGTATAAACCATCAACCCATCTGGGTGCTTTATTTTGTTGCTTTACTAGCATTAGTTTGATAATTGATAATTGATAATTGATCATGTTCCGGATTCTTGGGAAGTACTTGAAGTACCACCATTTTGCTGAGTTCAATGCGTCCAAACTTCTTTTTTCTCCTCAAATTCTTGCTGCTCAGACAATTTCCAAATATTTCGTGATATCCGGAATCTTTGGTAAGAACAACCTTTTCCAATCGCTGCCCCACAAATGCCTTGGCTATCTTCAGTCCATCCAGAGGCTGCTATACCGGTCACCCCTGCAGGTTGAACGGGGACGGTGGCAAATAAACCAATCAGGGTAAATGTTCAACATTCTTTCCCCCTACTCACTTGGGATGATTATCTATGACTATGACTTTCACACTACTGCGACAAGTTGACACACCAAACTATTGTTGGTCAGATTCCATTACCCTCTAGTAAACTAACATAGCTATTGAAAATGGCCATTTATAGTTGATTTACCCATTGAAAATGGTGATTTTCCATAGTTATGTGGCTGTTTACCAGAGGGTATATTCCTGAATTTTGGTAGGTTCCTATCCCCATCATTCCAGTGACGTCGCAACGTGAGGTCGTGATCAAATTTATCCAAAGAAATGTATTTGCATTGTAACATCACGTAAAGTCAACCGTTGATATATATATATATCAAACCATATATCATTAGAAAAAACAAAAACCACATTTATGGGGAAAAAAACAAGTAGGATTTCAAACAAAAAAAGGCATTAGTCTGATTGAAAGAACCAATGAGACATGTTAGATGGATGCTGTGTCGCTAAACAGGAAGATGACTAACAAGGGTCAGACCTTAAACGCTGCGGCTGACCCTTAAATAATCTTAAATTGCATTCATACCATAGTCTTCGACAATGTCCATTCCCAGAACCCCCAACCATCAAATTGTGACCCAATAATTATCAGTGTTCGATCTGCATAACTTGGCCCTCCAAGAAGGGGAAAACAATGGAAACCATATTCCCATGAGATTCTCCAAAGGATATACAGCAATATCCCGCGATTTAAAAACCATTGGTTGATGCACATATTGTCTATTAGATTCCGAGGTTCCAACCGATGGTACTGTACTTGGTGCTTCATCGGAATCGTTTTCTAGGGGAATCCACGGATCCTTAACTGGAATGAATCCCAGCAAGTAACGAACGGGGAAAATCAACAAAAAGGTTATATTTACCACTTATTAACCATTAAATAACCACTATTAGTCATTGTAGACAACCATTAAATAACCATTAGAAAAACCATTACTAACCACTATGAACCATGGTTTACTTTGACAACTTAAAAAATCTGCAGTTAAATTGGCTAAGCCTGTTGAAAAAACCAGTGATACGATATCCAAAATATAACTTTAGTTTTCATTTCATACCTTCGAGTAAACGTGTACATAGATGTGGAAGATCCACCATGAATGTAGATCCTTTTCTGAAGTAAAGTCATGGGATTTTCATGGCTGCACATCTTTGTGGAGCAGAATAAACCCCAGGGTTTTTACCCCAAGAGCGGTGAGAAATCCTCATGAAACACTTGATTTCCATAGAAAATTTCCATGAATTTCCTCTGATAAATTCACTGTTCATTTCATGCTCGATGCAAAAAAAAACATCAATCAATGGATTGGTTTAAGGGAAAATCTACAGGAAACCATGGTTTTTACCATCAAATATAGGGCTTTCCTGTAAATTTTCCCATCATCCAATTCTATGAATCAATCCAGAACTTCAACGCTCCCCTGCAACGCCCCTGTTGCCCCTGGAGCCTGATGGATTGGTGCGATTCGTTCGAACATGTGCCATGACCCTGGAGCATCGGTCCAAGTTGACTTCAGTTGATGATGGGGCGAATGATGGGGCATGTTCCCATCGAATCCCTAAAATTGACCGTGGAACCGAGTAACCATACCCGATCCATGTATGGTATATATGCTAATATTTGGGGTATATTGATGGTAAATGTTACCATATATAGCATACATGGATCCTATGGGATATGTAACCATAATCCCCTATAGAAATATATATATATAGAGAGAGAGAATCTATTAAAATATAGAAAGATATATCTATGTATATATATATATATGCTTTAAAGATGCTGAAGATATGGATTGATATGTTTTTCTTTTCGATTTTGAACATCATCCTTAAAAGGTGAAGCGTGACATAATACAATGTATATACCCTCTGGTAATTTAACAAAGCTATTGAAAATGGCCATAGAAATGGTTGATTTACCTATTAACAATGGTGATTTTCCATAGTTATGTGGCTGTTTACCAGAGGGTACATATAAGAGCATACATAAACCAATTGTTCATGCTTGGTATTGCTTGGTACAACCCGTTCCATCCCACACATGGGACTATGCCTTGACTCCTTGATATTAAGGGGAAGTCATGGAAAGTCATTACTAAATTACCGAAGTGGAAGCTACTTAGCTCATGTATGGCATCCATGGTCTAAGTGAGCTTTGAGTAGGGAAATATGTACACATGAAATTACTGATACTATATATATATATTAATTATAGTATGCACATCTATAGACTATTTATAGAATATTTATAGAATATTTATAGTAATTATAGTAATTATAGTATGTACTATTAGCTATAATTACTATAAATATTCTATAGCTATAATTTTTCTCTAGATATATAATTACTATTAGCATATTATTACTATAGAATTGTTTAAGGGCTTTGTTTCCCTGCAGCCTCTTCGCAGCCTGGGATGGCCCCGTGGGATCATCGGTCTCATCGAGATGGACGACCAAAATACTCATGACTAACCATGTTATTAGTATAGGTTAATAGGTAAAAATACTAACACAAATTATAGGTTAATATACTTAAGTAACATATATATATAACTAATTATAGGTTAACACTCCAGTTATGTATTGGATACCAGTTAGAAAAAGGGCTTGCAAAGCACTTTCTGGGATGCACCCTGGCGCCAAACACTGATTTCGAAGTGAAGGTCACATTGTTTCACTTGTTAAAGCACCAAAAAAAACATAGGAACAAATGCGAGAAGAGTGGTATACAAATTGAACCTGTTCTATCTCTTTGTGGGGGTACTACCATCCTTTAAACTGACATATGGAAAACCCGCTATCTGTAGGTCATTTTAGGAAAACCATGAAAACCATGGGCTTTCCACATTTTTTTCCGAAGTTTACCCCAAGGTATATTCCATTCCCATAGGATCCATGTATGCTATATATGGTAACATGGATCCCATCAATATACCCCAAATATTAGCATATATACCATACATGGATCCGTCATGGGATTAAATCATCATTTAAGATCCCTTTGAATCAATAAAGATTCAACATTGAATCACCATTTTTCTCCAGGGTAAGCGCCTTTCAGTGGATATGTCCATATAGAAATGGGATAAACAATGGGATAAACCATGATAAACCCAAGATATGTCCATAAAAGACCATTGTTATAAACCATTATATTTTTCCCAGATGCCAAGTCACGCGCCCTCATGGGTGTCGCTTTCCACATCGAGGGCCATGCGCGCCTCCATCTCACGAATGCGGTCCTGAAGCCGAAACCAACGGAGCCGAAACGCTTTCTTCTCCAAGAACAAATGAAGGGATGAACATTATTGTTGAGGGACCGTTTCAAGTACATACATATATTATCACATATATATATATATACTTACACATATATTATACACATAATATAAGTATATAATAGTACACATAATATAATTATATACATTGATTGCACATATAATCACGATCCCACGTCGAAGAGACTCTATGTCCTGGTGGACAAAAAACATATTATGTATATATATATATCGCTCACTTTCATTATATTTTCGTAAATCAATTATGGTAGATATATAGAAGAACATAGATATATATATATATACAGTTACTGGAGGTACCCTCTGGTAAACTAACATAACTATGGAAAATCACCATTTTCAATAGCTATGTTTATTTACCAGATGGTATGACCTCAACTCATCATTTCGGTCTACATTTCCAGTGGTTCATCATGGGGACTCTGCGCATCCTTCCCGACTTTTCGGTGCCTGTACTTCACCCATGATGGAATCACCATCACCACCTGTCGCGGCAAGGTTTTGATCTCACAAATTGTTCGTTTGATTTATGTTTTTTTTAACCAGAAACCATGGTCTTTACTAAATCTTTACCATGAAATATCCTCCAATTCAGGGAGTTTTTTCGTGGTTTCAAGGGAAGGCCTGACTTGATGAGACCAGCGCATGGTGCTGGATGGAAGAAGCAGCATTCAACGTGGTTCAACCACGGCAGTGGGGTCAACTTGAGAGTCGAAACATGTCGAATCCTCATGTTTCCTGGGCTTTGGTGTGTCCCCACCCCAAGGCAGTACATAAAAAAACAATAGGCGTGTGTATATATTATATTATATTATTAAATGCAGTACCCACAAAAATTATATATCAACACTATAAAGGGTTTTATGGAAGGTCAAATCGTTCAAAGCTGAAAATATCCCGATGACATGTGACACAATGTGTGTTTCTTTTACGTTTTGAATCTATGGAATGAATGATATGGTTCATTTTTGGGACTTGCAACAAACACCACTATAAACTGCACGCCATGAATTCCCCTCAAGCACAGTCAGCACCGCAGGGGCCATGGAAGATGCCACTGGAAAATCAAGGTGCCTTTTTTCATTTATAAAATACGTGGCCGTTGATTTCCAGCACCAAAAACCAAGTACAAAATCTACCATCCATACATGATTTTCATAAAAAGCCGTCCGGTACAAAAAAAAAAAACTAATAAATTATGTTGTGTTCTATTATTTATAATGAGAAGGGTATGGCGCGGAGGCAGTTGTAACACCGGGGATAAATAAAATGGTGGGAACGCTGACCACAATACACCCTCAAATCCGCCCTTAAAGTGCGATGAAATCAACGCACACTGATCAGATCACCTAAGATAGACAGCCCTCCTGCACAAACGTTTATCAAAATGGCTCTCTCCAAATGAGCTAGAGACCAAAACTGCTTTGTTGAGAGGGAAATTACGTTTAACACCTTTGAATTTTTGGGGGATCTATATTCAGACCAACAAAACAAAAATGGTTGCTATCATGTGATTGTGAAACTCTAAGAATCCTTCCAACTGGCTCCCCATTTACTAATCCCATCCCCCGTTCGCTTTTTTGCACACCCCAATTGTTAATGGTCCCAAGTAGGGGACTTACATCCACCCAACCACCATGAGATGGGATTCATATTCAATACTTGGAGGTGCAGCTCCACATTACTAATTACAGAATACCCTAGTTATATATGGATACCGGATACCCCCGGTGATATAGGGGTTATATCCCAACTTATGGGGATTCATGGTGCTCACCCTCTGGGCTGCCGAGCGCAAGTAGTCGCCCTCTCGGCGACCACGTGAATTTGCCTGAGAAAAGCAAGGCGGATTTTGTCCCCAACCTTTAGAAGTGTGTGTAATCAAATGGAAAACAAACATGGCTGGCTGGACAATCCGTTATAAATAATAAATGGAGGTCTAAATGGAAAAATCATCGAACTATATGTCGGATTTTCCAGCAAGGCACGTTTGATTTCCGGAGGGTACCACATGGGATTGAATGGGATATGCCTCCTGTAACCGTTTATACATAGATGTGGAAAACCCACCATGAATGGCTTGTCATGGGTTTTCCACATCTTTTGCTGTTTACCCCAGGGTTCTTTTTGAGACCTCTACAAGACTGACATCTTCAGCACAGCTCACGCCTCCCTGCACTCTGAGTTTCCACACACGCGAACAAGGACTCACATCCCTCTGTGCGTCCCCTAGGCAGTACCCGGATGGTACCCTAATTCACAACTGATGAATGGATGGTATTCCCCAAAATATGGTATAATAATCGTTGACCCGTCCCCAGATAAATAATGATAAATACATATTATAAAATCATATAAATACATTGACTATGGCCAGGGTAGTTGTTTTCTTCAAGAACTAAAATGTTTTCCTCGGGAACAAAAGAGTGTTCTTCAGCAACTAAAGCGTGTTCTTCGGAAACTATCTTATTCGGAAACTGGAACATGTTCTTCGGGAACTAAAAAAACCTTTCTTCGGAAACTAAAACATGTTCTGGATAAACGAACTAATTATGCAGGGGGGCATGTTTAATTACATGTTACTAGAGTCGTGCAAGTGTATTGTTCGGCAGTGGGATGGAATTTAAATAAAAAATCACCGGAGTCGTGCACTGGGGCAGGGGGGGGTGAGAAAATTTTAAAAACAATCTCACCAGTCGTGCAACTTTATTGTAGGGCACGTGGGGAAGGAGTTTTAATAAATCTTACCACCAGAGTCGTGCGCTTGTTTTGTAGGGCAGTGAGCGGGAAAACTTTAAAAACAAAGATTACCAACGCCATGCAACTGTATAGTAGTGCTGAAAATAGGAAACTGGCATGACCAGGGGTTAGTTCCTGGATATTACAAAATGTTCCTGAGCCAGGGATTATTCGTTCCTGAACTGTCCTGAAGATGGCTAGTTTCTGAAGGATGCGGCATAGTTCCTGAAGAAATCTTTCATCTAGCCACTGATATTACATGATATGACGATTTGTCAACAAAGCTGGGCAGGACTCAGTTGGCATTGCAATGGTTGGCTTATAGACATTTTCAAATGGGATGTTCACCCCAGACTTTTTCCAATATACAGGATGGGGCCCCCTAGTTATAAGTTGGTTTATAACCCCACCTAAACATATTTCTAAATATCATACACTATTGCTAGATATTGCTAGTATTTGCTAGTATATTTACAAACCAACTTAGCTAACTATGGGGCCCCATCCTGTAGTGATTTATATAGGCTGCCGACCACTTACTGAACATTAAACGATCGGCCGAAGTGGATTTCATAGTGTTTTCCATCACAGAACTGGTTGTTGGTTTCACTCAGAAATCCTGCCTGGTAAAATGATTCCATTTGACTTAATGTTTACTGCATGTATTTGGCCCATATGGTCCATATATGATATATATATATATATATATGTACATCTATACATATATGTATACGCATACACACACTGTACATTTGAATACATTTGATATATAGATATAGAAAAACATATACAACACACACACACACACCCTGATGAACCGCCGTTGTTTAGCTAAATAGTGCTACTTGTATATAAATTGAAAAACATTGTCACTCTTCTTACATGCATATGTTTGAGTCATTTCTGGAGTGATGAAAAATGTGCGTGTCTGAAAATGGGGTATACCCCCAAAATGTCAACTTGTATCAGGCAATTAATTTGTCAAAGCATGGGATTTTCGGGTTGTTCCCAACATTTTCAGGTACCACCACACCAAATATCGTTTGAAAAACCTTGAAACCTATCCTCAAAGGGTGCGGTGGATCTTCAATATCTCCAATTTCTTGTTGCTTGATCATGTTTGGATGTTAAATTGAGCGATGATTTACCATGATTTACCCTCTGGTAAACAAACATAGCTATTGAAAATGGCCATGTATGGCAATTTATGGTCGATTTACCTATGAAAAATGGTGATTTTCCATTGTTATGTTAGTTTACCAGAGGGTACCACTATTTTATATGGCTCTGAACATGGGCAAACGACCCCCAATGCCCTGTGGAAATCTGTGGATGATGACCTACAGGATCCAACTCACTGCTGGCATGGTTTTTCCATGAGATGATTTGGGGTACCCCCAATGGTTAAACCAATGGGAAAACCAATGATTTAAGGGGTACCCATAGTTTAGCACTCTTGTAAAAAGGATGCCATATCAATCCATATCATATATCCATTTATATCTGAGTAAATTACGATATTTCACTAACCTGAAATCAACCAATTTTGGGGATGATTCCCCTGAAACTATCCTGTCGCCCGCCTGGCTTGGCCAAATACATCCCCAACAAGTTCGGCAGAGGCGGACGTAGGCTTCCCTGAACGGAAGGGAAGGGGCCACAGATCGGCTGTTTGTTCCAGCAAAACGCTGGAGTGTCCAGCAAACATGGTCGATTTTCCAGCAAAAACGGTGGTTAAGCTTATAACTTCTAACTGAAATATAAATCCAATCGTTCGACGAGTAGTAAACTAACTTAAGGCACTTTTTGTTCATGTAAATCAAGGATGTTAACGACTATAAGATCCCTATGTTTTGGTGGTCGAATCCAAATTTCTTGTTGTAGCATGGCCCTCCACTATGGGTCCCCACTATCCTTGGTGTATAGGAAAAAAAGGGACCTGCTGGGGGTGAGATTTGTTGTGTTTCCTCTGTTAAAAATATCGGATTGGGACAATGAGAAGGTTGGCGCTGTGCATTCCATCTCAGACATGTTCATGTGTATATGTGATGCATGTTATGATCTTTCTGACACATTTCAAAGTTTCTTCACAAACTTTTTTGTGAGGGAAAAATTGCTCGTTGTGTTTGTACATGAATCATCGACCATATATGCATGTATATGCACGTATAATATATATACATATACATATATATATACATATACATATGATCATATTATTTCATATTCATCTAATGCATTTGCTATTACAGTGCATATAAGAACTATATATATATCAGAATTGCTACTGGACATATCCACCCTGTTGGTTTTTCTCATGGTTCTCGTCCAATGCCGTTCGTAGCAGTGCGTAACGTAGCGTAGCACTGAAAACTCCAAAGGTGTTTTTCCACGCAGAGCCCTGCGGCCCTAGATGTTGGCCCATCACAGGCAGAATCATTTTACATAGTGCATAAAATATATAATATAATATATCTATATATATACAATATAATATAATACATACATATATATATATATTATATTACATACATAAATATACAATATTACATGATATCTCCATATAATTTAATCTCTGATATATTGAATCAATGATGACTACAATCACATGGACCTATCAAGACTATATCAAGATCATTAGATTGAATCAAAAAATAAGGGATCTTTGCTCCAAGGTGCGCTGGGGCTGGCTGCTATCCCATGCTGGCAACTCCAATGAGAAGACTGCCTGCCGAAGGGAGGTGTTTGTTTATTGGGAAAACCGACATGGAAAATCCAAATGGGGAAAGAGCAATGCCAAAAGAATCCAAAAGAATGGTAGTCGTTTTATCAGGATTTCTAGTTCTTGGACCATGAAAATCCCCAAATGAATACAAAAGAATAAGTATTGGTGTGTGTGTGTGTGTCAAGGGGCGATTAGTAACCCCCGAAATATTCATCAACCGGCCGTTTTTGAAAGTGCTCAATTAGAACACTCGACATTGATGGACATTAGCCGCTTCTGATGCTGGAAATGATCAAAGTTGATGAAAGCTTGACCCAGCAGGCAAAAATCCCTATAATAAGGCTGCGATGGCTGCAACATTGATTCAGGAAGCAGGTAATCCCACTGATAAACTCTATTCTGAAAATAATTGTGTCTGATTTCAAACAAATATGACTATGACTCTATGACTAGTTAGGGTCACAAAGAACACCTAAACAGATCTAAATTGTTTGTTCTTGAGTTTTTCTCTGCATTCATCTGAATTCAACACTTGCTGAACCAAAAAAAGAGACAAATCTCTAAGTCATTCACCACTTCAGAATACTTGGATTTGCTTGATTAAGGGGTTCGCTTGATTAAGGGGCTCTCAAAATATCAAAACGTATTCCATATAGATTTTAGATTCGCCAGTCATCATGGGATTTCCAATCAAAATCAGCCGTTGGTCATCCACAAACCGCAAATCTTCGCTGCGTTTCGCAGCTTAAGCGCCTCCTCCAAGTTTCATTTCCCGGTGAGGAGCGGGGAGTCGGAGTCGCAGTGCCGCAGACGCCGCGCGGCACTGGAGAGTCCATGGCCAAACCAAAAAAGTGGATCGCGGTATGATGCTTTGATGTGTCCACTCAGTTCATTGTAATTGCAAGTAGTTTAACAATGTTTAACATAGTTAACCCAAAATTATGAGATTTCTTGAGGAATGAATTTCGGATTGTCTTGAAACACGATATGATATCAGCTGGGTCAAGTGACCAGGTTTTCAGCATTTTCAGCATCTCCAAAGGTGGCCGATTTCTCTTTGTGCCACCGAGATGAGTTTTGTTTGAATGATATGTTGATATGTACGACATATGTGCCCAGATATTTCTTCAAAGTATTTTCTAAATATATATGACTTGGAGTTGATTCGAAGAATATCTTGGATGATTCGGAGATTGAAGTGACTTTCATACGGTCTTGTTGTGCTAAGGCTGCAAGATGTTTTTCGAAGTTCCAATGATTTATGTTACATGCACAGTTTTTTTTGGGGGTGGCTTGCCAGGCATGTACATCCAGAGTTTTTTGGACAATTTAGAGGAAAAGCCATGAAGCGCCCCTCCAAGAAAGCTGGTAAAAACTCGTAAAAATCATGGTTTCCTGCAGATGTTCCCCATCGATTTCTTGTTGCTTGGCCAAACAAATATTCCCTACACAGCTTGGCCCGGTCCGCAAATTTGGTTGACGCGTCGTGGAAAATGTGGAAAGGACGAGGAAATTGTGGTGTACCATCTACAGGGCCCTGACATTTCCACTGAGGAACTATCCAAGTGCGGCCACAAGGTGAGACCCCTGCTAAGTTGACGCACTTACATGTTGGTGAACTTGGGTTTATGGAAGATATAACGAACTAGTTATTAAACATGATGAATAATTGATGCTTGAATAACATTGAATAACTAGGGTATTTATAGATATTTATAGTATGTTTATCGTATTCATAACTATAACTGGCTTTGTAAAGCAACTTATAATTGGGGGGCCTCACCTTCTAGGGAGTTTGGCATGGGGCACCCTTTTTGTTGAGACAACAGCATTTTATAGCATTTTATAGCAGGGGGGCCAGGCCAAAGACATCACAGATTTAAGGTCATTACATACTCAGACAGACTCATTGAGTTTTGAGTATTGAACCATCCAACAAATTGGTTTTTTTTGAGTTCAAAGGACTCGTCTCGCTGTTGATCTTTAAAACCACCAGCATCCGGTGAGAACGCCATGGATACCTCAAAAAAAACAAATAAAACGCAACTGTGTCGAAGTCTGAGGGAAAAAACACACCTCAAACTCTCTGAATCTTGATGGGGTAAACCCAATAATACACCATCCCCAAAAGTGGTTTTTATACCTCGATTGCTGGGATTTTTGGAATCCCAACCTGGAGGATGATGACTCCAAAAAAGTCAACTTCGGGGCTCAAAAGGCCACTGCTACCATGTATATAAGTACGGATATATATACATATATATATATATATACATATATACAATTTACATAATCATATATTATACATACATATGTACAAAACCTGTCAAACACATGGATAATTCAACTGGTTCACTGTCTACGTCTTACACAAACGTCTTGAAAGCAGATTCATATTCCCCGCTCGCCGGAATCTCTTCCTCTCGGTATCCAATCGGTATCCAACCGTAGCATCCAACCGCCTCAAATCCGAGGCACAAAAAAGCTCGGCCGTAGCACCAGCCACCACCTGCCGCAAGCGAAGCAAGGCTTCGAATGGTAGGGAATCCCCCATGTTTCACATGTTTGGATTTTTTCACAAAAAACATGTGGATTTCACATGTGAGCTGTCATGGCTCACCGCTCCCTCAGATAGATGGGTGCATCATCCCACGCAGTTGTATTATAAATCCCAGTTGTAATCACTATAAACAGCAAAAAATGATGGTGACATGTCCAATAAAAACATGTCCAAATCAAACCAGGCATCACCTGCACTGAGGCGAAAAAAAAGACTCATTGGTGTTTGAGGTCCTTATTTTGTATCGGTCAAAAAGTGGAGCCACAAGTATTGAAACATCGCCCGAAGTGGGAAGTTCTTAGTCCAACCAAATCCCGAAAAAACATTCATTAGAATAAAGCTGGTTGGTGGTTTCAACCCCTCTGAAAAATATGAAAGTCGGTTTGAATTATTGTTCCCAATGTACGGAAAAATAAAAAATGTTCCAAACATTTCCAAACCACCAAACAGAAAGGTTACATCCCTTGTTTTGCTAGTGGGAAAAAAAACGGTCATCCAATGTATGCACTTATAACATCCTATAACTGTGTTTGTAACCTACTTACCAAATGGGATGAACCGCACAAGTACCCAAGTTATATAGGCCAGTTTTATTCTAAGCCAGTAGTATACCTTTATCACCGGGAGCGATTCGTAAGTTGACGAAACCGATGCCGCGATGCCCAGCTGCCCGATTTTCAGCGCTCCCGCTGCGAACTCGGTGTATCAAAAGCTGGTGACACACGCGAAGATCTGAGGATTAGATCTCTGGCTGAACGGAAATTCACAGGCGATGTGGGGTGCCCCCCAAGTTATGTTTGTTGGTATATATAATCCATACATATACTATAGCTATGTCCCCCACTTGTCAACCCTTGCAATGTTCAACTCAACGAACTCTCGCGTGCCACTCTTCATCTCTCAGCTCATGCCACAGCTCCGCCTTCCTCGGATCTGAGTGGTACAGCTGGGATTTTCTACGGGTTTATGTGGGGGATCCACAATGATTTCATATATGATTTCTAGTCATAAACTATCCTCTATGTGCGGTCATTGGTATTTCTTGCATATACCCCTAAACTGGAAAGGATGTATCATAACTCCAAAAACGTTCAGGAATGGACTGTGGATCCTACACAAGGCCGAACCATGGCCATGTTGAATATCTTCTCGCCCGTCGGAGTTTTCAGGGGCAACACATTCAGAAGTAATTACCATAGTATATGGTCATACTCTCAGTAACGTTGGGAATGCCTTACATTATATGCAGTAATATACAGTGTATATATATATGTTACAGTGTGTGTATATATATATATATTTAAATACAAATATATAAAATATAATATATATATACATATATATATATACATATAATATATATATATATATTTACATATATATATATACATATATATATATTTAGATACACCTTTGCATACAAATAGTTGATAGTCAGTTTCCCAAACGCCAATGTCTACCCATGTTGATAGCATCCACCATGGTTTCCATGAATCCCATCCCCTGGTGGGTTTCCATCAATGGGGGATACCAAAAATAGATGGTTTATTTCATGGAAAATCCCAGGCAAAAACGGATGACTGGGGGTAGCCCTATGACTTAGGAAACCTCCATTATAGTTGTATAGAGAAAAAAAAACGTTGAAGCCTCCATTGGGGAGTTCCCATTGTGGTTCCTCACAATCATTAGCGTTGGTGGTCTGCACATGTCGAACTAGTTTGATATTGTATCTACCATAAAGCCTAAACCCTATTTAGCCTCTGGTAATTTAACATAGCTATTGAAAATGGCCATAGAAATAGTTGATTTACCCATTAAAAATGGTGATTGTCCATAGTTTTTTAGCCAGAGGGTAACCGTAACCTTATTATAAACCAACTTCGCCACTAAGGCCACCAAGTTGTGATGAGTGCTATCCCAATTACCAGTCATAATGTTGGTTTTATCTTTGATATCAAATGCCATGTCATATACCAGAGTATATATATATATATATGTTTATATCCCATTTATATCCCATTTATATCCCATATTACATTCCATATTATAGGCCTATAATGTTTGGTTTGCCACGAGTTGTATCCTGTTCAGTCATGTTCCCCATCAAGATACTGTATACCAAAACAGCATTTATTATTGGGTACCCAGCCCCCCTTTAAGTCAGATACCAAACCCATATCATCCACAGAATGCGGATGCCATCCGCATACATCTGGCTGAATTGCAATAACATAATACACAAATATAACTATATCCCATATTCCCATATCATATCCCATCACATCCCCATGATGGTTATGTGATGCTTCAACCACAAAAATTAAAAAAAAAAGTTAAACCAGCATCCCCTCCGCCAAGTCTCTTCCTTTACTGCGTAGATAAAACCCCATAAACAACTATCAATATGTACCCCGACACAAACCCTATCTATGGTTGAAATCAACACAGACCCAAGTTTCCCATTGTGTTAGTTAACCCTATCTTCCCATCTAAAGCTTACCCACAAAAAAAACAATAGAAAGGGGAGTGTTTATTACTTATGAATACTATTGAATACTTATGAATATATTAGTTATTATGTAGGAAATCATTGTTTTTCCATATCTTTTTGTGTGTTTGCCCTAGGGCAAACCGCTACAACTTGTCTAGTAATAACATCAGTAATGAATAAGTATTGTTAGTTGACCCTATCTTAAAGATACAGAAAACCTTATCTATGACTTCACCCACGAAGATCATAATATTCCTACACCAAAACAAAACACATTTCCCCATTATGGTTAGACGATATTTGATGATTCACCATAGAACTTTCGCACTTTTCACGAAGTTCTCCCGCCAAGTCTCCTTCTCTGCATTCCAGGAAGCGATCATGGCACGACGCTCCTCCGAAGTTTGTCGAGCAGGTGGAGCGTCCGTGCGCTCGCCGCGGTCGCGGTCGCGGTCCTTCTCCTGGCAATTTTATGAGATGTTTACCAGCGATAATGGCGATTTAATGCTATTTAGTGGATTTCATGGGATTTAATCCGATTTAATGGGATTTAGTTGGCGAAGTTGTTTTTCTGACTAGTCTGAGTTGGGTTCATGGTAGATAATGTATCTATCTATGGGATTCTATGGGTAGCCAATGATACATTTATGGACCAACTTATAACTAGTTGGCACCACCCTTGTGCCAAGGGACCAGAAGAAAAGGCTATCTTTTTGAGCGATTTATAGTAGGGAAATCATGGAACAACCTTCCAAATCCCCCACTTCATGTTGATTCTTTGTAGGGAACCATGTGGAATCTTGCAACTCATCCAATTGACATAAGATATTTCAATATTATGAATTATCATAGCGGCCGTTTGGACAGTGATTTCCCTAAACCATGATTCCAGGCTTCGGGAGGACAGGGTTCGGTCGCCAGTTTTAAACCTTTTTTTTTGGGGGATGGCCACTGGCCAACTAACCAAGGCACGCTACTGTCCATCCCGGCAAAAAATACCAACAGAAAAAAGTGCTACTTGAAGATCCAGGGGGGATTCATATGAATTCATTGGTTCTATCCAACTTCGCGAAAATTCACGAGCTCACCTAATTCAAGTAACCCAGGATTCCTTGTAATCTCTACTACAGTAACATCACCTAAATTGGTTGAGTACTTGTATTGTTCAGCCACCACTTTTGTGTGATGTTTAAGTCTCCCAACCATGAGAAATATCTGGAAAATTATGCGGACCCCTGCTTGTCCAACTGGGTGTGCCCAAACATGCTGCGATTTTACAACTAATTGATGGCAATTCAAAGAGGGACTTGCAAATTTCCCGGTGAATCATAATCATTGACTAACCTCAAATGAGGTCATTTCAGGATGATTCCAAATCAACCAACATTCCATTGACTTCGCGACGTGAGGTCGTGATCAATTTTATCCAGATTCATGATCAATCATTGTCAAGATTTGGGGGGAAATTTAACTCACAGCACCATCACTAAAAATACCCACAGACGCCGTGTGTTGCCCAGACATTAACATTGAGAATATCGTGCTGTCGAATATATGATAGGAGAGATTGCAGAAAATACTGCGTAGAAGCAGTGTTTTCCAGTTTAGGATTCAAAGCTTTCAGAGCCTAGGTTTTAGGATTTAGGGTTTTAGGCTTTGGGATTTTTGGGTTTGGGGTTTTGGGGTTTAGGATGGTTTAGGGTTTTAGGGTTTAGGGTTCGTCGTCTGAGAAATCTCAAAGCACTGGCCCTGCGCGGGTGTTTGAGCATGTTGAAGGATAATGCTTAAACATGTTTAAACGCCATTTGAACCTTCCGGGCAACACACAGCACCTGGCCGTAAAAATATTAGCCATGGTAACTATACAATGTTAGTGGCATTAGTAACTAGTCTAAGTAATCAACAATTATATATATATAACTATAACTATATAAACAGCTCAACAATGTAGTTGAATATATTTCGACCCCATTTTTTCTTATTACCCATATACTTATGGCCAACTAAATGTTCAACGACCCCGACGTGCCCGGCCGTCCCGGCACCTTCTTCTCCTTGTCTCGGCGCCGGGAGCGGGAACGGCGCTCCTGCGGCGAAGCGAATGGTCTGTTCGAATAGTTTGATGATCGAAAACATGATGGAAATTGAATGAAATTGATAGAACTTAGTCTGAAGCTAGATTTCTTCCAACTGATAAATGATTGTTTAAACCACTAACACTAACCCAACAATTGGAATGAATCTAACGGTAAGTCACAGTAAAGGCTCGTTTACAAGTCACTCATTTCCGGGTGGATTCCCCAAGAAGTTCAGGGATGTTCGCGAACTGGAAGCCCTGGAAGCTGGAAGCCATGAAAAAAACATGATTTACCGAGCTAACAAAATGGTGCTTTTCCAGTTCGCAAACTCTTAGTTTACCGGAGGGTACTTCAAAACCTTGCTTCCAAGATCTAGAAAAAGTTCGTCATATCCTCGCAACTTCACCAATGCTGTACGATTTCTTGATGCGCAAATCAGCACCAAATACGAGGATAGCTGGCAAATAACATCAATAAATGCAAGGATCCATCACCACAAAACAGCACCATGTCCATCAAAAAAACAGCCAAACATACCCTCTGGTGAACGTTTACATAACTATGGAAAATCACCATTTTATAGCTGGGTAAATCCACTATTTCTATGGCCATGTTCATTAGCTGTTTGTTGGTTTACCAGGCCGGGTATGTGCGATGGTCCAGTTGGGTGATTGATTTATGGTCATCCCAGCAGTCGTCCTTGTCCTTGTCCTTCTTGGACTTCTTGGCCTCGGGGATGCGTCGAAAAATGGATGTCTCGTTGGGAAAATCTGAAGAAAAAAAAATGGTCTTTACCATGAAATAAAAGTTGCCGTTTCCAGTTTTTCCAGTTTTTCCAGTTTCAGTTTTCTCCCTTCAATTCTGGGACTATTAGAAATTGGGCGTATGACTTGAGTGTGCTCTTGAGTTTTCGTGAATCGCTGATTTTTGAGGGTAACATCCAAGTTCTTGGTGTTTTGCCTCTGACCAAGTCAGTAAATTTATTACATTTTATTATTACGTTATATCAGTTAGACCATGACTGTATCTGTTGTACTTTAAAAACATCATCATTGCATATCATTTTTTACGGTTTTTGTATGTCCTATCATTCTGCCAAGACTCACTGGTTCAGCAGGTATCTGCAATTTTTTTTGGAGGGGGTTCAATACTAAGTCATTAGGTCCAATGCCTCGGATGTACCCCCGAATCATTTTAGGAAAACTCCAGTTGGAAGGGAAGCCACTAGTACATGAGCACCAAACACCTCCACATGCTACTCTCACCCATCTGCAGCCTTTTTAGGTGCTGCCAAAAGACTGTTTGCCCCAGGTATTCTGGATGGTCATCGTACATCTCTCGGACAACACGACGCTTGATGGCACGGGGAATGTGCTTGATGTGCATGAAATTGCCTGGGCAATCAATGGATTTAAGTGATTTGAGTGAAACAACATGGAAAATTGCGAAAGTATTAGTTTGGATTGATGTTTTTGGCGGGGGCAACAGGTTGAGGGTGTGTCCCCTGTTTTAAAAACATCGGGGAGGGAAGGTACGTGCATCTGGCTCTCTATAGTGTAGCCATGATTACTTGAGTTGCAAATGCAGCCCCACTTTGGGTAGGGCCTCCCCAGCTATCTTTGTTGGTTCATAATCCCATCCAACCATGGATATATTATGAAACCTAGTTTGACTTTTGTTAAACAATATTACTTACGCTAAACATGTATAATCCTTAAGTGTTCAGACGTTAAGCACATTCACCAACTACTAAATGATTTCGGGTGCCCGAAATCGTCACAACCCCCATTTTCCCAAGCCAGCCATTCGTCCCAACCAGGTGGCAATAGGCGCCACGATTGCAGCGCGTTTCGTGGAAGGCTCGACAACGCGCCTCACGGAAATCGCTCACCGTGGTGTACTCGGCTTGGATCAACTTGCCACTGTAGAAACGGCCTGGTCCGAAGGTCTTTTTTGGGGCCGGTGATTTTTTGGACGGTTGGAAAGGCTTCAGCAATGTTTGTTATACAAGGTGGTGCCCCATAGTTAGCTAAGTTGGTTTATAACTCCCATAACTATGGTTTATGGCAGATATAACATGATATAACTATAGTTAATGGGGTTTATAAACCAACTTATAACTGGGGGGGCACCATCCTGTAGTATAGGGTTGAAGCATATCTGGGATAGTGTTGGGTCCAATTGCTGGATTCCATTATGATGTGCCGTGGTTGTAATTGTTGTAATTGGTTGTTTGATGGTGACCTAATCAACATAATAGCCAACAAAGAACCAACATTATAGATAATATAGATATATTCAATCTGTAGGTAGACTATGAGAATTAACCAACCTGATTATCTTGGTCATTTAGGGATACCAAGAATCCTACTCACCATTCAAGTGATGTCGCGACCTGAGTTTGAAAATACCCGCCGGTAATCAAACATGGAAAGGGACAATCATTATTTGTAGATGATATTCCCATTGACAACTGCCATTTGTTACCGAATAGTAAAGACATTTGAGCTGGCGATCGCTATCCCAACTGTTTCGGAACAAAGAATAGATGGGGTTGGTGACTGGCAAACCATCTATATCTATCTATCCGTCCATCCATCTACATGTTCTTAATCATTGTTTGGGCGTGTCCCAAAATGCAGGATAGGGCAAAATATGATTTTTCGGTTGCGGCACTTGTGGAGTTTTGTCCAGGAATTCTATGAATTCTGGCATTCTGAACTAAAATATTGAGCCATAACAGTGCCATAACCCCAGTTGTGTCGCCCACAAAACACGGCATGGCATTCGCGTTTTTCCATCCCTGGGGTGACCTGGACCTTGTTTGGCGATAACATGGGAAAGCCTGGCTGCCATAAACAACTACCATGTGTGGATTGTTTTCATCCCATAAAAATGGTGATTGTTGGGATTGTTGATGGCATTGGGTTTACCACATTGTAAACAAAACAGTTTTTTAGGGGCGGAGGGAGTGAAGTGGGAAGTACGGTGAATGATGGACTGGTTGATGAGGATGGTGACATTCCTCCCAGCGGTGGGTTTTTGGATGGGGTTGGGGGGTTGTGGGTTGCACCTTTCTTTTGTCGCAGGACAGAGAATGTTCTTCAAGCATCACAAGTAGATATATTTGAAGATATTTGGCTAAGCGGCCAAATCAAAAGATTTTGGCCAAGCATGAAATGCACCACTTTGGACGTGCATTGATGCAAAGAACTGGCGTCCTTTTTCTTTTCCACGAGAACACTTACCTTCTTCAGATCAAAGCCTCAAATGTTTAGTATAGCAATCATTCTAAGCCACAACATGAGCAGTCTGATTTATGGGGGGGCCATCCAACTAGTTCGATATATCATGATCCACCACAAACCCAACACAACGAATCTACTTATCTTAACCAACTTAGTTAGCTTAGTCCCATAAAATCTCACAAAATACCATGAAATCACCGCCTTCGAACTTTTGCTGGTAAAAAACAAAACCTAACTACCTCACCAAGAAATCCCATGGACATCACCATCGTTTAGCGACAAATTATACCCAACGAACCGCAGCCTGTCAGCTTCATCAGGGCGCGTTCGGCATCCTCCTCGTGGTAGTACTTCACCTGAAAAAACACCCCCCCCCTGGTTTGTCGCCTATGGGAGAAACCACCAGAAAATCTGGACCATATAATTATATATATATATATATATTTATTTATAATTATATATTATAATATTATATATATATTCTATAATATATATATATGATCTATAATATATATATATATATTATACATATATAAATTATATATTATATTATATTATATTAAATTATATTATATTATATTATAGCTAATTATCTTGGGGGCATAGAATATGATAGAATATATGAAGCTCCCAAAAAAGCTATAGAATTATGGGCACAATAAAAAAAAATGATATGGGACTCCCAGCTATATATGGACCCCTTTTAAAACTTAGCTAGTTGTGCAACATATGCAGGGAAGACCCTTGAGTCAGTTGGCGAACTAGCTATGTCAACTATTTTGCAACCATGTGAATTAGTCCAATGTACAATAATGTACAAATATATATATATATATATTGCAACCCCATGTAACCATGACACAACTATATCTGACGAGCTCACAGGGTTGCAATATATATATATATTACTATATATATATCATATCATATTATATATATTTATTTATTTATTATATTATATATAGTATACTTATATATTATATTATATATATTATGTTATATATCAAATATTCTATTTTATATTATATATATTATATTATAAATTATATATTATATCTTATATATTATATGTTATATGTTATATATTGTATATTATATATATTATATATTAAATATACATAATATATATATATAATATTATATATTATATTTTATATATTATATTATATTTCATTATAATATATTATATTACATTATATTATATTACATTATATTACATTATATTACATTATATTATATTATATACAATATTAAATTATATATAATATCATATTATATATAATATTATATTAGATATAAAATTATGTTAGATATATAATATTATATTAGATATTTAATATTATATTAGATATACAATATAATATTATATATATAATATTATATTATATAATATATAGTATTATATTAGATATATAATATTATATTAGATATATTATATATATTGTATATTATATATTTATACTTCATTGTATATAATTATGATATACTATATAGATATATTATATTACTATATATTATATATTATTATATATTATATATTATATACGTACATATATAGTAAATGTCATGGGAATACAATGGGTATACGGTTGCAACAACATGATGCTACATGTGGTGGGTCTTCACCAGGGTCCCTGAGAGCCGGGTTGGACTTGCCGGACGTGGGAACCCGTCCGTCATACGTGGCTGTTGAAAGTCAAGCTGCAGGACTATATCCGTTCAAAATCATTCAAACCAAACATCACCCAAGACCCATGATGATCATTGTATCTAATATATATATATAGTATATATGTGATATTGGGAGGGTATGGGCTATGGTTTCTGAACATATCAAACATTCACCCTTTCAAACGTCCTCAACGGCTTCTTTCATCAGCCGTCCACATCGTCGACATCTTGTCGGCATCAATTGCTCAGGCGACATCTGGAAGGACGCTGGAAACTCCGGATCAATAGACCCCATGGCTGGTTTTCTCAAATGGGTTGCCATTTTGCAGATGACATTGGGACGTTTTTTTGGGAAGATGGGAGAATCATGACGCGAGAGCTTCTTCCATCCTGGCACTTTCCACTGGTTGGCCCCCCTAAAAAAAGAGTATAGCTTCTCCAATTCCCAGTGGATTGTAGAAACCCAATAGAAAGATAGAAACATATTTTTGGATCTTAGTTCCATGATGTGTCCCCTAGAAAAAAGCCAGCTTTCGAACTTGTCTATCTCCTATCAACCAATGGAGAAACCATCAAACAAAATTTACCCTCTGGTAAACTGACATAGCCATGGAAAATCACCATTTTTAAAAACGGTAAACCATCTATTTCTATGGGCCATCTATACCATGGCTATGTTAGTCATAACCAGAGGGTATACCAAAGTCATAAAGTCCAGGTATCTCTGCTGTTCCGCGTTGAGAACTTCTGGGATTGAGCGGACTGCGACACAACGGACAGGTCTGTGCGGTGCGCATCCAGCTCGCCAAGCAGCTACGGTGAAAGACGTGCCGGCCGTTGGCACAGGGAGCCAGGGCGATGTCATCGGGTGCAGCAAAGTCCACCAAACAAATGGCACAGTTTGAGGCGTAAGTCCTGAGATTTCTGATTTCGGGCTAAGATGGGCTAAGGGGACCCAAATGGACCCAATGTTTAAAAGACACATCAAAATATCTTCCTTAATTTGTGTTCCGTTTGATCTTAAGGATCTTGAAGCTACGTTAATGGGTTACGGTTTGCATTGGTGATAGAAATTATTTCGGATCTCGCAGAATCTTTTTGGTGGCTGTCGGCAAAATCTATATGGAACTCCTGGGGTTCCAAAGCACCAGCCCAAATTGCAGTGAATACCCTCTGGTAATTTAACATAGCTATTGAAAATACCACATTTATAGTTGATTTACCTATTTAAAATGGTGATTTTCCATAGCTATGTTAGTTTACCAGAGGGTACTTGGATCACTTGGTTCAGCAAAGTGGCCCACCTTTGGTTTCCATATGTTTCTGAGGAATGCCCTGGAAAATTCACACATCACCAATCAAACAAACCTGGTCATTTGGTTTCAACAGATTTCCAAAGTACGTTTTTTTGTCCCAGAAGTTGAGTAAACCCGGAAATGGCCAGAAAATACCGAGAAGCATGATGATAAACCATTAGATTCACGATTACCCCAAGCCTATAAAAAGAAATGATAATCATCCCAGACTTTGGGATGAAAGCTGCAACAAGATTTGAGTTTTTGTGAAAATGGCGTACCCTAATGTTGGTCATGGATGAAAAATCATCATGTTCCCCTATAAAACAGCGATAAAATCGGGGCCATCCCCCATGTTTCGGACAAACAGATTTGACACGGTTGCAAAACCCAAGGAATCTCACCATTTTGATGCTGAACCTTGGATTAAAACTTGATATGGTCAATGTGAACCCACAGGTTTACGGAATGACCCTCAAGCCATCGGCTTGAACCTTCAATCTCCATGTTTCATGGAGAATTCCCCATTTGTTGATATTGTTTGTGGGTTTTTTCCATGGAACAATCCCCTTTAAAAAATATCCAGGTCCGACCGTCCGAGTGTCTCATCATTGAAGGTCTCGGGCCGATACCTGATTCTGGTAAAGCTCCGAGCCAGGTTGGCGGGATCCGTCAGAAGACCCACGCACCACAAGATGGGCTTCAGGCAAGGACCCCAGGTGAGCCAGAGGAAAAAGCCCAAGACCTGGCATTTCCCAAGAGCCCAAAATCCTCCAAAAGTGGCTGCCAACAAGGCCCAACAAAATAAAACATATAAGCTATACCTGCTACACTGGATGATCACAATAGTTATCCCAATCCTGAAAAGTTAACCATTAGGAAGTTGGACAACAATAGTTGTCCGGGACGTAAATTACCGTCATGCATTTTGACAGCCTATATACATTATATATCATATAGATTATATACATATACAGGTATATGCATATATACATCAAGTATACATATATATATATATACAACATATACAAGTATATATATATATAAATTCAACATATATAAATATATGATATGTGCATATTCCACTACTTGGTGCTTGTTGCCCAGGAATGCAACTCATTGTCATGTGTTGTTCCCTTTCACATATAGGGTATGGAAGGTCACCAACATATAAGGCCACAAATGTACCATCCTTAGAGGGAAAACAATTTATCCTTTCCATGCATGATTCACCCTTTAAATTTGATTTTAATCCCATCTCACCTGGGCCTCCCCTGATCCAACGCTAAGAGGCCTCATCATCACCCATCCAGGTGATCCCATCATTTTCCAAAGCACGGCTCGTGGGGTGAGCTGGAGTCACGCATTTTGCGTGAGGTTGTGAACCTGAAGAACCATTTTGCAGCACAAGACTTTGTATATATAGATCTATATCCAATTGACTTATACAGAGATTTTTAGTATAGGTTCTAGAAAACACTCCCCTTGTTTCATAGTCCCAATATCCCAGCTTAGGAATCAACAATGGAGGTGATTAGCGCACAATCTATTTGCATATATAGATTTCCCACCTGAAGGGTACCTACATCAAACATTGTTACAGTAAATTTCCTGATATCCCACTGGACAAGCTATATATCCAGAGTGTTCCAGACATGATTTCCACTTTCAATTTGATCCTCGTTTTATAAGATTATATATAGCATGCACGCAATCAATGATATATATAGCCTCTGAACGTCATGGCCTGTGCGTTCGTGTGCGTTGGCGATGGCCAGCCAAGCTGCAAAGTGGAACCAGCGCACATCTGCCCTGTTTAAATGGGGGTTGGTGATGGGATATGGTAGATATTGCACGGGGTTGTTATATATGGGAACCTTAATGAACTGTTTTTACCAAGTGAACATCCAATCAATTGCAGGATCCATCGATCCCACTTGGTTGTAAAAAGAACAGCTTAGCAACATCTTATGTTCTTTTCCAAAAGAAAGTTTTACACAGCAGCTCACATCAAATGCTCTCATTGGCCCATGCTCTCATTTGTCGCTGCTCCTGCGCAGACCATTTTTGCTGTGGCTGATCAGGGTGGTGGGGATTGAACAAAACCCACTGCCATGGCTTGCATGTCAAAGGGAAGCAAAAGTCGTGCAAGCTCCCCAGGTTCCACCAAGAGTCTTATTGTCGGGGACTTTGAATTGGACAATCTCCCGATGATGTGGGATGACATTCCCGCTGTGCGGGAAAGGATTCGGGAGAACAACAATTTGTGTCTAGCAATAGACCCTGAATGTGGGACACCTAAGTCGATCTATGTAGATGCGACGACGGAAAATGTACGGCTGAACAGTTTCATCTTGATGCCCATCTTGACTATCATGAAGGATCACCAGAAGCAGTTGCCAGGCATCAACTGCTTGATCAGTGCCATAGAGAAGTTTTACGTTCTTGCAAAGCTTCCTAGAACGAAGGATCAGGCGTACCAAGAGGGCTGGGCGATTAGACGCCTCATCGGAAAGGTCAAGAAAATCACGTACCGTGCCACCCCACCACAGGACTGGCATTCCATGGTCCATGCAGCTATCAACCAACAAATTGTTCAAGAAAAAAACCATGCATTTTTATTTCGATGTTGTTTGTTGCAAATGTTTCCCTTCGATCCTGTCACCACCCATCACCCTCTACCCTGGTCTCCTCCCAAAACGGCTCTGCAGGATGAAGTTTTGCAAAACCTTGTCAGTGCCATGGGCATTGACATCGAGGCATGCTGGGACATATGGGGCAGGCAAACCTTCCAGCACATGGTCCTGAACAAAAAGATTATTTCGATCACATGCCAATGTGGGTGACCTATATATTTTATTTCATCTATTCGATCCTGTGCAAACTGCTTTCACGGTATACCGGTATACCATGCAAGTTTTCCTGAAAGTGTTGGGCTGCTGTTATCATGGGGACCCTGCAGGCAATGACAACCCTTTAATGTTGCATATATACAATCATGGGGCACCAAGTTGTTTTGACATGGTGGCAAATCATTAAAATTTGTATATACAGTAGCCCATTTAAACGGTGGAAATCATTTTAGCCTTCAACTTCCATATAAGCCCGTGTTGATACATGCGGTATCCATTGGTTCTATATCAGGGAACCTTTGCGGCAAAACCATCAGGTTGATTACATCATGCCTCTAAATATATAGGGCCTAGTCCAACAAAAAACTGGTCAATGTCTTACCCGATAGATTCTGATAGGTTTGATGATCCAATAAAATCATTATACCATACCAGTCTTAGAAATTGCAGTGGTGACATTCATGTAGAAACTTCCGTGTGGCTCCCTGGAGGATTGGCAGCCTGCAGAGCACCATGAACCGTTGGACGACTCCATGGGGGATGATTCTGTGGCCCCACCGGTGGATTCCTCTCCAAACCCCATTTCAGATCCGCAGCCTTCCATTCTTAGTCAACGACTTTTTGATGATGAGTTTGACAATTTTCAGGGTGAATTGGACACCATTATGGATCGTTTGGAACAAGAGCTACCTGAGATTCCCCTGGGAGGGCCAGATGCCCCACAAGCCTTGGCTTCAAAGGATGGCGGACCACCTGTGCAACCACCTGCGCTGAAGGGCAAGGGGGCTGATCCAGGGACTGTTCCCAAGCCACCTCTTCCTACCCCATGCCGTACCCCACGTGGATGCACTGGAACTTTTCAGACATGCCAATCTCATCAGGATATGGGTCTGCCAGTTTGTCCAACATAACTGTTGGCAATCGCTTTCTCCAAATCTACATGTGTTTTGCTCAGCAAGACTTGAAATTGTGACCACTATATATGCCAGATTATGCCAGGTCATTCTAAATAATTGGGGTTCCCATGTGTATATATATTTTACCCTGCATGCAGCTTCCCCTGTAGGACTTGGGAGCCGTGGAGATATCTTCTGATGAGGAGAATTTGCCATCGGGTTCTTCCCAACAAAACAGATTGAGTCAGACCGACATGAACGTCATCATGGAAGCCATCAAAAACTTCAAGTTGTGTTTTGGTTCAAGTATATTTGATGTTATCCAACGTGAATCCACTTTTTTTGGGGGGGAGCTGGATGGTGCGGGCTGTTGGCCTAAGTCTTCAACATCCCTACAACGTTTGCTCTGAAGCAATCACAACTTATATGTATGTGTATTTTTTGGGGGACGGTATTTATCATTGCATATAAGTGTGTATATACATATATATATATACAAGTATAGATTAGATACAAGGTCTGTAAATGCATCTTTCCTTCAGTTTATTGTCGCCCAACATCTTCCTTGATCATTCAGGTCTGAAGAGAGCAAAGGATGGACGGATAACGTTGAAGACAAGACTGCTTGTTTCTTGGTGGGCTTGGTGTGTTGTTGTGCATTTATCTTGTAGCTTATGAAGGGACCTTTCTTTATATAGTGGTATATTTATATGATTTGTATGTATGTGATTGTATGCATGATCTTATATTGGTTTGGGTTTTGACAAATAGCAATTTTACAGGGGCGGATCCAGCAAGGTTCGCGCCCATCATTGGACAATGCACAAGTTGAGATCCTTTCTGATTCACAACTTCCTCCGGTGGCTGCAGGAGATCAAGATGGGACCCTAGTTCCTTACTCACCAGGTTCTATGTTGAACACGGATGTGGCGCGTGAAACCCTAAAGAGCGTAGACGTGCATGAGGAAGCCATGCAAAAGCAGGTGTGTGGCTCATGCACAAAGAAACAACTATAGCTTTTGAATCCTGTGACGTACAGAATTGTTATTGTGTGTGAGGTGAGGTGCATGCAACCCCAGTCAAAAAATATATACAAATATAAAACATACATGTCATGTATACACTATTTATATATAGTTTTATATATGTATTACAAACATATATATATAGAAAAGCGATTCCTTTTATTTTAACAAAAAAACATATACCCAAACTTACCAGAGCTGCTTCCACCCTGCAGGTCGAGTTGTATGGGGAGGAGTGTGTCGAGGTTCCAGACCACCAGATCGTCACTCGAAGGATGCAATTTCAAGGCAAGACTCAGAAAGCAGAGAAGAGGAGACAGAAGAAGGAACAGAAGAAGTTGGAAAAAGATGAGAAAAAAGCATTGAAAGAGCAGAAGAAACAAGAGAAGCTGGCAGAAAAGAATGCAAAGATGGCCGCAAAACAGGCCAAGAAAGAATCCAAGACAGGCAAGACGACTGAAAAAACGGCAGCCAAGTCGAAGCCCGGAAAGAAGAGTTTGACTGCTGCTGAAAAAGCTGAATTATGGAAGCCATCCTGTGTCAAAAAGACCACTTGGAAGAAAAAGGTTGCCAATGAGGAGCCTGTGGATGATCAAGGGTCTCCTGAGCTGTCGACACCTGCTGGGATGTCGGAGCAAAAGTCTTCCCCGGTCAAGAGTCGACAAATGAAGAAGCTGAGAAAGATGAAAAAGGCAGCCAGCAGAAAGGCAGCGACAGGTGACATCACCCCTGAGAAGACAGGTCCCTCTCCTGAAAAGAACTCAGAAGAAGTCAATGCGGCACAAGAAGAGAAGGTTGAAGAGAAGGTTGAAGAGAAGGTTGAGGAGAAGGGCAGGATTGACGAGAAGGATCAGGCTTTGGCTGAAGAGACAACGAAAGATACGACAATTGAAGAGAAGGCAGAAGCAGCCGAGGGCAAGAAGAAGGTGTCCAAAGAAAAGAAACGGACCGCAAAGAAGACAGAGGGAACGA